ATTTCCATTCCCTCTCAATTATTCTCCTCCAAATATCAGAATTTTAAACCAACGCGTTTAGAATAATATAAATAAAATTGGAAGATTCTTATGTCATAGACTATGATTATATTAATCAATAAAATTAATTAATCAAGTTTGAAGGTACTGATTAAGATGGCTTTGATCATAAACCTTTTTTTGGCACAACCTTTAATTGTCATGTCTATAATTATTTATTTGGTTATCTTTGATTACATCATTGATTTGTTTGTTTTTTAATTTTACCAAAGCTGTTTCCGCTGATGGATTTCATCACTTAGAAAAACTTAATCACATGAATGAATAATGATCATGTGATCAAGTAGGTAGACAACCAAACTCATATTCAAGATATATCATTGTCTTTTTTCTTATTGTTTGCCACCCCTTTTGGTTTCGAATTCTTCCTCAGCCTTCCATTTTTATTATTTGATTGAACTAGAGAAAGTGGGAAAGTTCAGTTAATATCTGAATATTTTCACGACAATCTATTGTCCAATTGAGAAAGAAAAAGTTTGGAAAAATTGAAGACAACAATGTAAAAAATGTTAATATATAATAGAATTTGAATTTAATATAATTCAATTGATTCATATAATTATTTTTAAGAAATTATGTCTAATAATTTAAAATTTAAAATTTTAATACAGACAATTTTTTTTATTATTTTTGAATTACAATTTCTTTTATATTAAAAAAAATAATAAAAGTTATTTTTTTTCTTTAACACTTGAAATAACCTGAATGGGGGAATGGTCTGAATCCGTATAATATCAACTCCTCCATGTGCAATGACCTTTGTTTTGTTTATAAATGGCAGTTAAGATAGTTGTGCTGCCATGCAAATATATGGCTCAATGGCCTCCAATTTGTTGTGTGGACTTTTCGGCTTTGAAAACTTCGCATTCAAAAACAAATTAATAAATTTGATTCACTTGTTGGTTTGTATTCTTTTTTTCACATTAAAAGCATATGACATATAATTACTATATTATAATTAATCAATTATAATTCATAAATAGATGAAATTTATAATTGTTTATTTTCATGGAATAATTATAATAAAAAATTTGCAACTGAAATGCTCCACATGGTGTGGAAGCCCACAGGTTCCGAAGCCAAGAGCCAACCGTTTTTATTGATTGATTCCGTTCTACGGTCCAAAAGTCAAGGCTTGGTTTGAAGCATACGATTTCTTACCAGGTTTGGCTCGGAGTTGGAGATACCAAAATTTGTGCCACGTTGACATTGGACTGCCTCACGCTTAATTTGAAATTAGATTTGAATGTTTGGCTTCAAATTCAGAATCAACGAAATTTGGGAATGAGGCAGGTAAGCATTTGTTGTTTTTTATTTAATTAAATAATATAATTAACATATAATTTATGTATTTTATTATCGAATGGTCTAATAAATATTTTTTTTACATAAAGAGATAACAATATAGAGATAGATCAAAATTTTAAAACCCATAATTTATTTGTACGGAATTAATTGCATTTACTGTATTCAACATTGTTTCAATAATATGGCAAAATTGAAGAAATTATCATGAAAACAATAAGTTTATTAAAAATAAAGTTTCAAGTATTTATAGAAAAAGTTAATTTGATACATTGAACCCTAAATTGACAGTATAAAAAAAGTATTTAATTAATTGAATAATTTTTGAAAAATATTCAAATAGTTGAATTACATTCATTGTATCTTTTAACTTCAAAATTAAAGCTTCTAACCCATCAAATAAGTCAAAAAAAGAAAAGAAAAGGCACCAAGGGCAATTCTTGCAACTAAACCACAATGTAGGTTCAGGAAACTGCAACCCAAGGCCGTTTTCTGTTGCCATTCAATAAACAGAACCTGGAAGCTTAGGCTGGAAATTCCTTCTCCTTTGCATGTCATGGCTCGATGGCTTGATGATTGAAGCAGAAACGTCTTGATGGAATTTGCTTTGGTAACCACAGATAATTCCGAGTGACTTGGTGAGACACGAACCCCCCTTGTCCAACGCGGCGGCTTGTTGAAATTCCTGTGCATGCTGCACCTGAAGGATCCTGGATGTGTGGTAGGGGAACATAGGCATGTGGGGGTTTGTGACTTGGACTTTGATGATGCATTTTTTGAGGCCAAGAGAAATTGGGATGGTTCAAAAGGCTTTGATCAAGCGAAAAGTGGGGGTCTAGATGTCGATAGTTTCTCTTGTTTGGTGTGGCAAACTAATGGCAAGTTGGCGAAAATTGGGGTTTTATTGCTTTGAAAAAACCTGTTTAAATTACCTTGGTAACCTTTGCTTTCATAATTTTTAATTAATGGCATGATTTATATAGTGTTTTGGGTAACAAGAACAGTCGACAATTGGTTAAGTGCAATACCAATTCAGACCATTTCGTTTTTCATGTAAATTTAAAGGGACAGACCAATCGTTACATCGACGAATAATTTAATTTCCCTTTCAATGTATGAAACCAATTGGAAATAACCAAGTTCTATTAGCTCTATTCAATGGTCACTGCTAGATACATGAATGACAATGAAGGAGAGACATTTTTATTCCAATTTCCAACTATTAAAATGACAACTAAAATTGGCAAAAAAAAGGTCCCAAAGCTAAAATTGCTATGGTGGTCCAGTGCCACGGACATTTGAGCTTGAACCCTAGCAAGGCCGGTTATGGCTTCCTTTCTAACAGTTTCATTCATGCCCTTTCAAACTGATAAATTCCAATTTAATATTTCATTTATATTTTTGAAGCCCATAAACGGCATGGAATCTTCAGATAAAATCAAACTGAAAACCTCTACTCTATGCATAACCTCTACAAGAAAAAGGGGTTATGGCCTCATAGATAGAGTGAAGGTCAAGGGTCGGACATTGCTTTTATACTATGAAAGAATATAAAACATCTCATTGAATCGTTTTTTATTGCTTATCTTTCATGCTTAATATCTAATTTCAAAGATGGATTTAAATTGTTAATTTCAAAAATAGAATCAATTTGAGTTAAAATTGGATTGTTTGCTTATCTTTGTGGTAGGCTGTGTGTGGGGCAAGAGGCATACAGGTTGTACGAAATTAGCAACCCCGCAAGAACAAACAGCATAACATGCATCACCGTCCCCTTTATAAAACTTGACACGTGGTAGAATTGTCATTTTCAAATCCACAACTAGAGGGACCCTAATCACACTGATAGAGACCTGTTACCAACTTTTCTAGACAATTTTGGTTTTGGGACTATTTTACAAAGGAATATATTGAATGCCACAAAAACACTTTCATGGGATGGAGTGATGATTTCAAAAGATTTGGTGATATGGGTTTAATTTATGATGTCTTCTGCCATTGATAAAACAACCTACATGCATATGAAAAAACCCATTAAACCCCTCAAAAAGCCGATATCAGAACACCAGAATCCTTGACAATCCCAAACCCTTAAGGAGAGGAAGAAAAGTCTGAATTCTGCTCTTTCTTCTTCTTCTTCTTCTTCTTCCTTTTTTTTTTTTTAAAGTATGCATTTTGCATGTTTATGATCATCATGATCATTCAAAACTCAAAGAGTTACATGGTTGGGTTATTATGTGAGAAAAGTTAAAACCAAAAGAGATACGAGTCAAATTTATCCATAAAATTTATTAATTTTGAAACACAATTAGTTTTTATATTTTTTAGAAATAATATTAGGAAAAAAATTGTCACCTCCTATAATATTTTCCTCATGGATTAGCTTGTAAAGGAACCAACTTTATTTCACTGAAAGAGCTACATGGTGGGTTGTGTGTATAGAAAGTGATATGGCAGTTGATCAAAACTTTCTCTTACTGATGTTGATTGAAGGCAAGCATACAATCTATCTGTAGTCCATTAGATAAGTATATCATAAAGTTACTAGCCGACTGCCATTTTTTTTTTTGACAGGATTCTAACTTAATTTTACCCCCTAATTAATTTACCTTATAAACTTGCTTATTTAGGTCAACCTATGGAAATCTAGGTGTAGCTAATTTAATTGATTTTTTTTATACAAAAATAATTGCGAGAAAGGGATTGTAATGAATACATGAAATGGTCAAATGGTGATGTTTCTTGTTGTGTTGTCATTAGTTGAAATATGATACTAACTTTTGTATTAGGAAATCTTTCACATATTTATATACAAAATCAACTTGCAACGAGAGTTACAAGCATATTCTTGAATTGAAATGTTACAAGCAAGTTTTCCTCTCCAACACCATGAATCCGACAGTGGCAGATGCTGCGGGGAAAGATGCTCCTCCTAGGTACCTGAAAAATGGGACAAACTCTTAAAGCCGAAAGATGAAGTCCCATCACTCTTTCAGATAAGATAGCCTGTGTTTTGCACCATAGGAATTAACTAAACTCTGGGTCTCTTTGGGCCTTAACACTGAGCCTAGCCACTCAGTTCAAAGCAACCGCAATCCTTATTGCTTAACAGCTGAAGAGCTAAGTTCCATTTAATTTGATGTTTTGGTTATTTATTTTTTTGAAAAAAAATGAACAAAAATATCAAGCAAAAGAACCTAAATTAAAATTTTCATGCATGCCATGAACCAGTGGTTTATAGCCCGTCGGTGAAGCTTGACATTAACAAAACAAAAGAATTTTCTGTTCTTCATGAGAGAGATGCATTACACTTAGAGAAAATGGTCAAGGTTCATGGAAAAGAAAGTCATTCCTTGTGCATTGCTATAGACTGCATTGCACAAAGATTCAAGCCTAGGGATAACAAACATAATGTACAAAATTTAGCTATGTTACTCAAAATATACAAGCAAATTAACAACCTGCTAATTGGACTTGGTGTCCTATCCACCCTTGTATAGGCCTTCCGATCTAGCATCGTACCGTTTAGTATAAACACGGTGCCTTCTCTCTCTTGCATAGATTACCCAGAAGATCAATGACAGCATCACAGCAGCAGATACAATTACTAATCCAATGTAGATCCATTGACTATAGCGCCACAGACCAGGACAATAATCATGACTGATATCTGTGAATGTATCACGCACAAAAGTGCAGTCTTGCAAATTAACCAGGAATGGACCATAGCGATACAAACCATAACTGACATTCACTGCAGCTGACATCTGAGTGTAAAATTGAGGGGTCAGCCGTCCACGCGTTGAACAAATCCCAGAGGATGAAACCTGACAGGTATAGTTCTTCCAAACCTGTTTGAAACAGATATAGGCGGTCATTTAACTTTAGTTATATACATTAAGAAGAAAACTGAAAACGTTATAGTGAAAAGTTTTTGGATAGGCAGAAGCATGGAGACAGGCTGAGAAACTAAAACAATAAATAGATTCTAAAACCTTTTAAGTCTTTTTACCCACACATAAGGTTATTACTGCTCCAAACAAAGCCAGAAGTCACAGCTAAACACCTTAAATGACAGAGCTTGCAGTATACAACATTTTATAAATAATTCTGCAACCTGCGTAGATGAGCCTTGAACTGGAGTAATATAATTGAATGAGAAGGAATTCTAGAAAGTATCAAACAGCTAAAAAAGATCACATGCATCAACTTGTAAAAGATGCAATTAGGACAGTAACTAGCCTTAGTAAGTCTGTCAGCATAAAGATTGGCCTGGGTGTTTGGAACTTTTTAATTAACTTAATCACTGCAGTCTTTGGGATGAATTTTTAAGTCCTCTGAATGACCTAAAAGTTATTGTTTGAAACTAGGCTGAGAATTAAGGGAATTGAACCCAGGAGAGAGTAACTTGGCAGGCTGAGGCTTGAAATAATTGAGACTAAATCCATTTATTTAAGCTTTTGGTTCCAACATGTGCACTACATAATTGTGCGCATTGCATCTGATGCATGCATACTTATGTATGGCAAAGCAATTTCAACTCTTATTTGGAAAGGCTATTTATTACCTCTGAGGAATCGTACAAGCTAACTTCACCAGATGCACATTGCCGATCTGTGAGGTCAGAATGAAATGGGTTGCAGAGAACTGGGACCCGTGGACCAGATTGATTGTAATATAAAGGTGCCGATGATGGAGGGAAATTTTGGTTGACAACATTATTGATGACGCCATTCACCACATTCACAAGTTGGTAACTGACATTCTTGGTTCTTAATAAAGTCTCCTGGGCTGTTGCATTGTCCACACATGGAAGAATGTCATCTAATGCCGTATGGGCAGTGGGATTCTGGACCCATTCATCCATGGCAACACACGCATCTCCTACGACACTGTGAAGCATAGGAGACAATTTTAAGTTAGAGAGTCTATCATATTAAAGAAATGTATAAGAACAGTCTTTTTTTTTTCTTTTGGCCAAGTATAACAACAGTCTTGTGCACATACAATAACCTAGAAATTAAATCTTAAGCTATATCACACTTAACATGTTCACAAATCAGATTATGTCAGAAACTTGCAAATGTGAGGAACATAACAAAGATATGTACCTGCAATCAGGTGTGAATGAGCAAATGAGGGAGTAGAGGAAACATATCAAGAAAATGACATTTGTTTTTAGAGAAGTGATATTGAATGATTGGTGCATTAGATTCCCACAATTCATTATTGATTACATGTATATTAATAAGTTGACAACAGGAAAACCTTTTAGTCTCAGAAAGAGGAAAAACAAAGACAGACAACAGAAGAACTTTAGATATCAAGAAAGAAATCTAAAATTTACCAAGAGCAAATAATCAAGTAAAAGGGATGGGATTTGGAAAGAAAGTCATAGCATAAGTAGCATAGAAAGGAAATTTGATCCTAAAAATTTAAGTCTAAAAATTGGGTGTGGCATAGACTCGTGTGGGCAAACCTTTATCAACTTCTACATTCCATTTTATCCTCACCAGAAACCCAAACATTCCATATAGCATTAAAAAGAATGCAGGAAAGATTTTCTCTAGTCAGCAAGGTTGTGGAATTTCCATCGGTGTATAACTAAGTAGATATACCACTCAGGTGTTATACGAGATTAAAGAGAGGCCCAATTTATATTTGGTCATAACTCACAACCAAGATAATGCTCCATTAAATACTTAGTGTTGAAAGGTAAAAACTAAAAATATATGAGTTCTTCTGAGAGAAAGGAGGGAAATTGAGCAGAGCATACTTGTGGAGGAGATGAAATACTCCACACAAAATTAATGTGCCAGCAACAAGAATCCACCCAAGGATCACCAGCCTGCATTCATTAATTATAGAAGTGTTTGATAAGGGAAGTGCGTTTAAGTAATATAGGCTCACTTCAAGAGTTGTACTATTTATTATGAAGCATACAACTGAAAATACATTAATGATACTTCACTTACGTGTACACCAGACACTGCAATCCAAGAATGGAGAATACTGCAGCCACTCATCACAATAATAGCATAACGTTTAGATGATATTTTAATAATCTAATCACTAAGAATCTCGGTGCGATGAGCGAACAACAATGTAACTTACAGAATCCAAGAAATGCCAAAAAGAGCATCAAAGCAGCAACGATGATAAGAGCCAATCTCCTGCAGCATTTAGCCTGAGATCAGTTTGATGATCGGCACTCAAAGATTATTATAATTTCAAGATTATAAAAACTTCAACCTACATGCCGTCCAAGCCATGTTGAATTTTATCTTTATTATTGCCTGTTTGAGTAGAAAGAGTCAAAGCAGAAGAGTTGATCTTCTTTACAACATCATCAATGCTTTTTTGGACATCTGGGGACAGAAAAACTGAATTCACGGTAATTTTCTTAGCTGCAGAAAGATAATCTGACACATTCCTGAGGTTTTCAGCAGTAGCATCTGCCTTATTAACAGCATAATCGAGTGTGTTTATTGTACTGCCATGAAATTTTCCCTGACCAGTGTACAGCACAACACACCCGCCACTGTAATATGAAGTTAGATACTGAGTGAGTAATCATATGGTTACATAAAACATAAATATCTTGAAAATTTTAAAAGAGAGAGGGAGTAGAGTTACATTGCAGCAATGGTGAAGAGCATGAGGAGAATAAGAGATAGTGCATAAGCTGTCCTAGAGTAGCCATAAGAATCTAGTTGACAACAACAATGACGGATACATGTGATGAACAAGCATAGTGCAAATATCACAAACCAGACTGCGGCAATGACAAAGAAAGGAGCCGCCGTAAAACCCACAGACTGCATTATAAGCCATAGAAAAATGATATTAAATACAAAAAAAAAGAAAAAGGAAAGAATATACTTTACCAGTTAGAAAGATGAAAAGTTGAAAAAGAATATGAGATACTAAGGAGAGTTTTAAGTTTAAGTGCAAGTGACTGACAAGATAATTCCATTCAAAATAAGATTTCTTATTGAGATTACATTATAAAAATAAGACAATAGAATAAAATAAAAAATGAGGGAAGAACATAGGGAAATAACATGATTACAAGTGTCAATTTTGTGTTTGCCCCCACGAATTTAAAAACAAAATTAAAAAAATGAAAAAAATAATAGAGTAGTTATCAATCTTTTTTAACTTGGTACAATTGATCACCTGTTAAAATATATCTATTTAATAATAATTATTATTATAATAATAATTATAATACAAAATAGTGATTACAACAGGACTCAATGGACTAGAATTAATTATTCTCAAACATCTAAAACCAATTACAAAAACATAATAGTATAGTGATTTCTATGAAAATCATAAGAACACAAATAAGAAAATCAGCTAAAAACATTAGAAATTCAAGGCCTCTATGCAGCAACAAAAGTGTCATTCATTCCTTTTTCTGAAAAAGGATAAAAAAAAAAAAGAGTCCATCAAGTAACCAAACACAATCAAACCAGCGAACTACAAGTCTACAAGTACATAGAAAATTCATGACTCTTGGCTAAATATCTCAATTTGTCAAAAAGTACCAAAATGACATAAAAAAGTGAAAATTATTAAAAACCATGTAGTAAGAAATTAAAAAATGATAATTAAAATGTTAAGAAGAGAAGAAACTGACAGCCCAATAGTGTTCATTGCTGATATTCCAGCCACCTGTATACTTCTTAAAATCATTAAGAGGGTCTATCCTATTAGTCCTCTTTTCAGCCAAAATCAAAGACGAGTTGTCTCCTTCGCTTCCCTCTGCAAGGTTTCTCCTTTCTATATTCCTCCATGGTAAAACTCCAATGTGCTCTCTATCCCCAATGACAAGACTTTTATAAGATCCTATCAAAGAATTTTAAAAAAAAATTAAACCAACAAAAAAAAAACCCAGAAATAAAACCCAAAACTTTACTTTAAAAAAAAATTACCTGGGATGTGTAAAGTTTGAACATTTGAGGCGTCAGAAACTAGTTGATGTCTGAAAAGAAACAAAGAGAAAAGGAACAGAAGAAACAATGCATAAGGGTTGGATTTGAAACATAACATTATGCTTTTACTTTTGTTGTTTTTTCTTCTCTGTTTCTGTTCTCCCCGTTTTCCTTCTCTGGTTTTTGAGGGGTAGAGAGAGAGGGAGAGGGAGAGGGGAAGGTAGAGACGGTTAATTGCAATATCAAAAGGAACGTCCTAGCTTTACGTTTTGGAGGTGGTAGATGGGTCCCTTCATATCTTGTCTACATTTTATTTTTTGACCAAAATACCCATCGATTTTTTTTTCCTTTTTACTGGATGACTTTTTTTTTATAAAATCTAATGAAACTTGAAGGTGAAGGTCCTTTTTCCCGATGGTTTTGATTTCATAAAAATTATCATTAAATTTTGAAATAATTTAATATAATAATAATAATAATAATATTTCAACTAAAATCAAATTTTTTAATTAAAATATTAAAAATAAAACTTATTTATTTATTGAAATTAAAAATTTATGATGGTAACTAATTAAAAAACACCAAAACTCCATTGAAACTTTTTTTTTTCCTTTTGGCCTTAGATTTTGATTGGATTCTGGAGTTATAAAGTTTGGATTTTTCAATGATGTGAGTGCTGACAAGATCTGTTTTACACGAATTGAATTTAAAACTCTCATCATAATCAAACAGCAAAAACTTTATACAAGAGATAAAATAATTTAAGAGTAGGCAACTTTTTCGTGTATGGTCTGACAGTTTGAATCCGAGTTTTGCCATAACTGGCTCTTGATTTAAGTCTATCACGACCATAAAGGACTCGGCTGTATTTTCTCTTTCCTTTTCACTTTTAAGTCCAAATTTCGATATTCAAATTCTTTTGAAAACATTTAACATTTGCTTTAATTGTTAATAAAACACTGTTGAATTTTTAAGTAAGAGAAAAAGATGTTTGGCTAGCTTCCCTTCCCCTCCTTCTGTTCCTTCCTTTCCTTCTCTTTTTCTGAGTTTTTTTTTTATTATTTTATTTTCAAAATTTTAATTTTTAATTTTACAGATTTCAAGTTTTTATTTTAAAAATTAAAATAATTTTTTATTTTTCAACTTTTTTGTACACAGAAAACCACAATTTAAAAATTAAAAAAATTTATAAATTTTAAGATTCCAACTAACCTATTGGATTTTATTTTTTATAATTAATTATATAAATTAATTGAATTAAATTTTTATTTTTATTTTTCAATTTTTATTGATATTGTGTCAATCAACTTATTGATATGACGATTATATGCAATATTATCGATTTTCTTTAACAATGTTAGAATTCGAGGGTAATTTATCTTGTAAAATTGAGGTTTAAGTACTTAAAATTTTCATTCTTTAAGTATTAAATCATAAAAATAATATAATAAAATAATATGTATTTAACCACAAAAAAATCATGTTCATATTTTTTTCCTGATTTATCCATTGTAGGTAGAATGGTACTCCTTCGGTTGCGTACTTTGAGCTTTTAATCCAATTTTGCCAACCAAATAAAAACTTGAAGCTTCCACGATTAATGAAAATGGAAATTCAAGGTTAAGACGCAAAATGTTTGGTATACGCAGCCTCTGCTGCGTCGAATTTTGAGGCATTTAATTCGAAAATAGACAACCTAACCACACCAACATTAAGCTTCAATTTTGACAACTCCAAATCCCAACCCAATACATCGAAAGCAAGCACCAGCTAAATGTTGACCTTGTTTCATCACATGGTTTCTTGCTACATGTGGCATGCACCTAATCATGTTTACTTTTTTTTTTAGTAATCATCTAATCATACACATGGCTAATTGATTTATAAACGTTCATTCCAAAAAGTTACAAAGATAAATTTAAAATTTAACTTAATTAATTTATATAATAATTTTTTAAAAATAATATGAATAAGTTTAATATTTGAATATTAACATTTATAATTTTTTTTTCAAATTATGATTTTTTAAATATATATATATATATATATATATGAGAGATGTTACATTTAAGGGTTGGAACTGACCGAGAAGGCTTTGAGGTTTTGATTGGAGTAGGTGATGAGCTGATGATATATTTAGATTTGATTTCTCAATAAACGTAGCCTGGAAGCATATGCTGTTTGCTCAACGCGTTTATTGGACTTTTAAGGCAGGCAAATTATCGATTTCGTTTTCACTTACCAATGGCAGGTGCAGAGAATGGGGATAAAAATATAGATATTGCAAGTAATGTATGGTTGACAATGGGCATTATATAAAATCTTACGGAGAATGAACTACCGAATAGAATAAAAAAAGGGGACAAATTACAGTAATTTTAATTTTGATACTAATATTTAAATTTTAAATTTATTTAACGATAATAATATTTTTTAAAAATAATTATATTAATTAATTAAATTAAATTTTGATTTTTTTACCTCAAATTTTGCCTTTAGTACATGATATAATTTGGCAAGGTGTCCCCTGAATTATAAGAGACAGGGATAATATGTATATTCCATCATAGTTCTTAATTTATTATTTCTTTTTTCTTGCCCTATGGTACCTCAGATTCATGTCTAAAAAGGATGTATAAAATTTTCAATTTACAGCAGTAACAGCACTAAGAGATCTGCAGGGTTCAAGCATCCAAGTTCTATGGATTCCCATAAAATTGCAGAACTGGACATTAAAATAAGTTTTCTTTGTTTGGGGTTCAAAATTTCATTGATCAGCAGCATTTCAGCAATGTCTAATTAACTATTTTCTTTGGGTTTTCTTTAATGGGATTCAGCTGTTGACACTAGTGTTTATATCATATGTCACTAAAGCCAAAGGCATGAGGGTTGCAAAGTCTGTTAATTTTAAGTTGAGCTAATAGAGTTTAATTATGAGACTGACACCTTTTAAAGTAGATAAAGAAGATTTTTAACCAAAAAAGAGAGAGAAAGTGCTCGTGAGATCGGATTAGCCAGCTAATCAATCATTAGGAGAAGAGTCTAATCTTTGTTTTCAAAGGCTAATTATAGAGTCCAGGAAATTGATGTCCAACAACCTTTGTTTTCATCGAGATTTGAGTGAGCTTATTGATGTCTTTCAACTCTTTTCTTTCTTTTCATAATGTAAATTTACAAATATAACAGTTTTTTTTTCTCAGGTAATCATATTTTAAAAATAAAAAATTATAAATATTAAGATTTAAATTTTAAATTTATTATATATTATTTATTAAAAATAAAAATATGAACTAATTAAATTTAAATTTAAATTCTTAATATAACAGTTTTAAATCTTGATGAACATGTATCAATGGTCTCAAACACTTCAATAATTAAAATTTGGGACTTTAATTTAGAAATTTTAAATTTAAATTCTGATATGGGATTTTACAAGATTTGAAGAGGACTAACTTAATTCCATTTGTAACCAACATCGTATGGACAAATAATAATAATAATAATAAACAACGCATTCCAATATGGCAGGGTCATACAAAATTTTAGTTGTATTGTTTTATTTCTCTTTTTGTTCGAAATGCTTTTAAAAAATGTTTATATTTCAAAATAAATTTTAAAAAAATCATAAATTTAATCAAATAAATAATCATTTTGAAAAGAAAAAAAGAAAAACAATTCTTACAACATAGCACAAAAGCCAACAACAAAAACGTAACCGTAATATATTAAATATTTTTTAAATTTTAATATTTCTATAAGATTCAACATATGGATAGGAAATATTTATTATTATTTTACATTAAAAAAGCAACGAAAAATAGATAACCCCAACGTAATGGGCGCAAATTCTAATATAATATAAAACAATACAGCCGGAAGAAAATTTCAGCATCGGCCAGAGATGGAAACAGTTGGTTTGAGTGATTTTTTTTTTTTTCTATCAAATTAATCGAATTTGATTTTGAATTTTAATTTTTTAATTCATGTTAAAAGACTGCACTGGTCCCTATACTACAATAACTTCTTTAAATTAATTATATTTTTTGTTTTTCTTAAGCAGTAGTAGTGCTTTTTGTTTTTTATGCAGCCTTTTCTATATGTTAAAAGCTGCTTGTGTTATGATTTGACTGGTCAAAATTTTCTGGTTTAAGCTCAAAAGTTAATCTCGCTCTCTCTGTCTTCGAGGTGAGATGAAATTGTCTGTGCTAGTTATGGAAATTGGAATGGTCAAGAAATGAAAGCCTCTCAATTACTCTTCCATTCCATCATATTAACAATTTTTTAGAACATCCATCATGAGCATATGAGACTGAGGAGCTGGCAACAAAGATTTCATTTTATCAACTTGCATAATAATAATTGGCTTTTTCTTTTGTTTTTTTAAGGGAACAAACCTTTAGATTTTTAATTACAAGAGTAGGGTTAGAATCTTAATTCGTTTTGCTAGAGTTTCACTCCTGACCATCACGGTCAAGCCCCAAGTTAATAATTAAATTCATAATAAATTATCAAAGGTTTTTTTTTTTTTCAATATTTTGGATTTATGAATTTAATTAGCACGTTAATACAGAATTTTATTTTGTCTTCGAAAAATTAGCTAGCCTTTCACAACCATATTACCAGGTAATAGTTTTAGTATGAAAATATGTACTATATATGGGAGAGTCTGAAGAATAGAACAATAGAGTCCTCCAATTCATGGCTTCAATTAATATAAGTAATCATATGGTAATGAGAAACAAAAAAAAATTATATATATATAGTAAGAAATTGTACAAACATTTAACTTGGAATTGGGAATCACGTGATGCCATTAAGACAAAACCCCCGACCAAGTGAATAAATTAATTTGGAAAGAGATAGAGAGGGTGAGAGAGACAGAGCTTGAAGCATTTTGAAATTAATGATTCAGTCAAAAATATCAAATTAAACTAGTAGTAAAAAAATTGTAATTTAAACTGCTTTTGTTTTTTTTTAAGTTTTTTTTGCTAACATAGAGGAGATCTATGGGGAATGCCTTTCCTTCTACTCATGCTTGTAGCCATGTCCTCTTCAGAAACCTTAGTGGCTGATCTCCCACACAAATATAGCCCACTTCTCTTCTTCCTCACAATCTGATCACTGTATGCCATGCTCATGTTCTCTGACGACCCTGAAGACCAGCTCATTGGCTCATCAGTACTGTCCACTATTGTTGAATGTGGTGTCTCGTTATTTGTCATTTCATCGTCTCCCATGTCTTGGGGAACCAGGAAGTCAGGGCTGAGTGTTAAAGTGTTGCATGTTCTTAAGAATGGAGAGAGGTCTTTGCAGTGTTTCAGCACAAAATCTACCTGATAATAATTCAATTTCAAGCAGACAAATTGCTGATCAACAGTATTCCTCCAAGTAATTTAATTACCAAATCAAAATTCAAGTGAACATATATTATATTATACCTTGCACCCCAGAGAGCAATGGATGAAAGGTTCTTGGAGACTTCTGTCACAAGAAGAACAGTAGTTTCCAGCCCCTTTGAATTGCCTGTTTTGAGGTCTCTTCTTGATGAACACCACTTTAGCACTGTTTATAGTATAGGCCTAATCAAATTAAGATCATCATGATCAATTAGCAACTGTGAACTGAATTTTACAAGCAATTGTAATTGCAAGACCAAAATTGAACTTCATTTTTTTTCTTCTACGAAATAAATAACTAACCTGAACATTAGAGCAATCTATAAGCTTTTGAAGATCTTCCAATCTGACAACATCATGATATACATACCGACGAACCTGAAGAAGCCTGTGAAAACGATGTGAGGGTATGCAATGAGGGCAGATACTAATGCAACAATCCAAACAATACACGTTCTTTTCGTTCTTCTTTGCAGTTTCATGGTATGAGCACCCTACGAAGAATTTCTGTGAGTAAAGGGCTTCCAACCATGCAGGCTTCTGAATTCCCTAAGCAGCATGAAACCAAAAAAAAAAAAAAACAAAGAAACAAAAAAAAATCAGCATCCAATTACCCGTGAATTTACTAAACCACAAAAAACAAAACCCAATAATAATTTTGACAGAGGAAGACAAACCATGATCACCATAAACTCTTGAAGAATCGAGCCCTCTCCTTGAGCAGTAGCAGTTATCAAGACAGTGGAGTTAGCAGAAGAGAGAGAGGGGAAAAATGGTATGGTGATAAGAGTATTTATGGAGGTTCACACGAAAGGGAAGGGGTATATATTTATTCCTTGGAAAGATACACAACATTTTGTCAATATATGGCCCATTGGTGGGGGAAAACCGGGAAAGGAGAAGAGAGAAATGAGGAGAACGTGGGTGGTGTTTCCATGTCTCCCATTCCAGGCCACCCCTTTAAACAATTTTTTCTATCTCCTTCGCTTAGGAGCTCCATTTATATTTTTTTGGATGGTCTCACTTTTTATTTTCTTTGATTCTGATCATGATCATCGTCTCTTGGTTTGTGAAATTGGCTCTAGTCTTTCCTTTGTTGGGAATTTGAATTAAACAAAATTAAGCCCAGTGTTTTAAGATTTATGTTATAATTTGTGAGTCTCACCTTAATTGAGTTAAAGAACTGTTGATTAATGATGATAAAATAACATCGGTCACAACTAAACAAATTGTAAGGATATTACAGGTCTGATCTTAAGACGTAGGGCAAGCAGTTGAAACCCACAATTAAAAAAAACTAACAGCCTTTAATTTACTATTAAAAACACATTTTTTCTTGGGAAAACGACATTTATTTTTTCTGGTTAAACGTTGTTTTTGCATAACACATTCTTTCCAAATTTATTATCATCCTTGGTATGAACCTTCATAAGCTAAGTAATTACTGCAAACATGGTGGGAAATGTGGAGTATAATACTGCTGAGGTCCTCAAAGCATGAGCTCCAATATAATAATTTTTTTGAAGCGCGACCTCTGAATTTTCGAGTAATTAAAAGATATATACACTACAATCGATTAACTTTAGCTATTAAGCCTTTTAATACGACCATTAGATGAGGAATGAATTGTCAATTTTGACGCCTTATTTGCATTTGAAACAAATTGGAGAGAAATCTAAGAATAATGAAGGCATGAATTTTAATCATAGAAAGAACAAGAGTGGCAAATCAGAAGTTATTTACACCAGAAGAAAAGAAAATAAAGTTCCCCCAATCAATCTTCTTCCTTGCAAGAAGTCTACATATACCATCCTGTAATGAAAGAAAAACTTTGTGAGGGCCAAGGGCACCGTCGGTGGAGGATCCAATCACATTCAAATTATGTTCTCTTGCAAATGTTGACTTTAGCCCTTGTTTTTATTTGCCGTCATGGGGTTTTTCTGTTTGGCCAATGCCTTTATGGGTTCAATGTTTGATTTTTTCTCCAAGCAAAATCGTTGCATGGTCACAAATTAAAAACTCGCTTTTTTTTTTACGAGAAAAGGTTAATTTTTTTATTATGATGGACATGTTGTTCTCGATGGTATCGTATCTTCTACATTTTTAAATGATAACAATTAATTGGGGAAGATTAAGAGAAAATTTTTTAAATGAAATTGGTGAATTTTTTTTAAATAATTAAATAAAAATTTAAAACTCATAAATTGAAAGTTTTTACACATAAATCAAGTGTATCAATTTTGAAAAAAAATTTAATAAATTTTGATATATTTTTTAGATAGTTATTTTTAGTAAAAAATTTGACAGAATTTTTATCATTGAATAAGTATTGATAAATTATAAATAATATTTTTAATTTTTTTATATATTATTGATTTTCTCGTTGAACTTTATAAATTTATAAGTATTGATTTTTATTAAAGTTTTAATTGAATCATTTTTATTAAAAAATTGCACGAACTTTACCTATAAAATTTTTATCAAAGTTTGTTTACCATTAATTAGTTGTGTATATTGTATTGTTAATTATAAGCCGAATCCCATGCCCATATATCTATGGTTTATAAATTTTAGTCACTATATATCTTTTGATTGGTATTAAAAAAGAATATTTGAATTTTAGCAATAGGAAATAATCATTTCATTTACCTTACCCGAAGCAATTATTATGGTAAAATGGTGGTAATTATGTAACCAAAACAAATGGTGGTGATTGAAGGCAACAGGTTTAAGGATACATCCATGTATCTTGGCCGGTGCTATTGCTTTCATTGCAGCAATCACTCAACCTGATGAATATAAAGCTAAAACCAAAGACATGTACGAGGAAACCCGTGTGTTGGGGATTCAAACATGGCAACATTCAACCCAACTACTCCACTAATCAGGTTTAGCTATGTGGCTTTATTGACAGACAAAACACAACTCATCAAGCACTAATATGTTAAGAGACTCATTTTCCCTTAATTAATTTTGGATTAATTTTACTAATTTTGAGGTGACCTAGTTTCCTGTGCCTTTAAGCTTCATCCAAGAGCTAATCTTGGGGTTTGTTAATTTTAATTTGAAACTCCTAATCTTGTGGTTAGTCATCAATCATAGCATGCCACATCAAAATAGAAAAAGTGATACTACTCTCTTATATAGTTGCCTAGCTAGGGTTAGCTTAATTTAATGCTAATCTCATTTTTAAACAAATAACATATCATAATATTTTCACCCTAGAGACTAAAGTCTAATTAACTATAGGCCAACATTTCTCCATGCACGTTTCTAACTTTCCAAAATATATATATTGTCGTAACGGTTTTGAGATCGTCAGATCGTAAATGAGTTTTAAAATCAAAATAAATGAGGTGAGTCACCACCAATCTTTGTTATAGTGTGATTGGTCACCCAAAAATTTATCTTTTTAATAAAATTATAAAAACGGGTTTAAAGTTTATTAAAAAGATAAATTTTGGTCTAAAAAAATCAAGTTAGGTCCAGGAGTCAGTTTTATGTGAGAAAGGATTAGCATCCCCACAACGCCCATAAATTGATACCATTTAATTATGCGCTATTTTAAAAATAGTTTTGACTTGAAATTTAATACTAATTCCCTTCGTTTTAAAAAATATTTTTGCTAAAATTTTTATTTAGAAATATTGAAAAAATCTTTAAGTTAAAGAATTATCTTAAAATTTTCCAACATCTAGACAGAATTTAAAATAATTATTTTCGCTTAAAATTTAACACAACAATTCTTAAAAAGAAATAACACTCTTTATAGAAAATTGTTGGTGACTCTCTAACATTTAGGTAGAGTACTAAGAATTATTCTTTCGGAATGTTATTTTTATTTTATTTTCTAATATCACAATTTTTTTAAAAAAAGTATTATTCTTTTTTATTATAAAATATTTTATTACCAAGTAGTAAATAAAAATTAAAGATAGAATAGTGCAAATAAATACTGATAATAACATGCTAATGTATGTATACCAATAAATGTTATGTAGGATGAAATGTAATTTAAAAGTTAAATTCTTAAGTATAATGAGACCACCTTGACTCTTTAACATCTAGGCAGAGTTTAGGTGTGACTGTTTATATTTAAGATCCCAATTTACTATTATACTTTTTATTTATTAATCTTATTATTAATGCGAATTAAGAATTTGTGTAAAAAAACTTAACGAAGTAAAGTTTCCTGAACACCCCATCATCTAGACGGCATTCGGGAACAAATTACTTCAAATGAGATTTTCACACGTGTCTTTAGGATTTCTAGATGTTTTGAATAAAGGCTAGGTAGAGGTTTTAAAGGTTAGGGTTTCAAGATTTTGAAGATTCGGATTTTAGGATTTTGAATTTTGGGGTCTGGATTTAAAGGTTAGGATTTTAAGGTTTTGAATTTTATGGGGTTTGAATTTAAGGGTTTAAAGGTTTTAGGATTTCGGATTTTAAGGGGTTTGGATTTAAAGGATTTTGGATTTTAGAGGTTTTAGAATCCTAAGGGTTTTGGTTTAAAAAAAAAGGTTTCGTTTTTAAGAAAATGCGAACATCTCTAAAAATCTTCAACATTTAGGTGGATTTTCGGAGCAAGTTCGATTTTAGTGATTTTTAAAAATTAATTAATAATTTTTCATATATTTATTTTTTATAAAAATTTATTAATAATAATTTCTCAACATCTAGGCAAAATTATTTTTAAGAAAATATTTTTATTCCCTCCAACATCTAGGCAAAAAAAAATATATATATTATCATTTTTTATCATTTTTAATATATATTTTAATTATTATCTTACTTATTTTTATTTTTATTATTATTAAAACAATTAAAAAATTATCCTAACAAATTTAAGAATTTATCATGTATCAATATATTAAAAAAATATTTAAAATAATAAAAATAATAATATAAAAAATTCAAAAAAAAATTTTTTTACCTAAACCGTACCGATCAACAATCCGATCAACAACCGGTTCGGTTGGACCGAAAAGGGGTTGGATCGACTTGCGGTTTAGTTGAATCGACTGAGGAGCGATTCAGTTCTGTTTGATTAAATCGACTCAAAGTTGTTGGAAGAACCGGGTCAGCAGATCGTTGCGTTGATCCCGGGTCGGTTCACGGGCCCGCGCAGATCCTCCCTGGTCCAGACGATGTCATTTTGGTTCTTTATTCTAAAACGGCATCGTTTTGGATAGCTAAGGCTATATATAAACCAAGTTTTTTTTTTCTGTTCAGTTTTCTTCTATTCTAAAAAAAAAATTTTAGAGCTCTAGAGAGAGCTCGGGGAGTCCATCGGTGACTGACTGCCGGTGTCGTGCTGCTGTCGTTTGGGCCACTGTAGATGGTCAAAAAATTTTGAAATCCTCTTGGAAGCTCTATTCGACGTGATCTTTCAGGATCCAATCTCTTTTTCGCGAGAAACGGGCCAGATCTGCGTAGATCGGGGTCCAAAGTTTTCTGTTCTCTCTTTTTTTTTTTTAAACTGAAGCTGATGATGATTTTTTTTTTTGCAAGTAGCTTGGCGCTGGGTTCCTCACCTAGCGAGGACTGTGTTTTTTTTTTGTATTTTGGTTTCTGGTGGGCAAAGGGTTGATTGGGGTTAGGAATAACAGTGTGTTTGCGTGGGTGTCTTTGGTGGTGACTATTGGTTTGAGTACAAGTGCTGAAGTTTTAGGCATCTGAATTTTTGTTCGAGGATGTGTCCAAGAGGAGAGAGTGTTTGAGGGTAGTGTGTTTGGTGGGGAAAAGCTAGGTGTCTGGTGCCACAGGGGTGTCCGAGAGAGAGGTTTGAAGGGGAAGAATCTATGAGATTTTTAAGAGCTTCAAATAAGAGGATCTGGGTGGCTGTAGGTGGGCTAAACAGAGGGCTGGTCGGGGGCAGCAGCGGGGCCATACCAGCCCTCTGGTTTTTGTCTCCTTTTTCCTCTTTTTTTTATTATTATAATTTTTAAAATTATTATTATTATTATTAATATTATTAATATTAAATTGAAATGAAAACAGTAGACCCGAACAAAATCGGTATCTACATATATATATGTTTAATTATTTGGGCAATTGTTACTTAATAATTCCTCTTTTTAATTAATTAATTTAGTTGTTACTTAATAATACATTTCTAATTAATTATATGCTATATATTCAAAATATATAGAACATAATATATTAGAAATATTATTCAAATCTCATAAAAATTGATAAGTTATTTTTTATAAATATTTTTAGATTTATTAAAGAAATTGCTTGGCGATCAACAAGCTTAAATAAGTGCAACCACAAGTGCAAAAGTGTTTACTAAAATTTGGGAATTCATGGTCCAATTTTGGCGTAGCTGCTGCTATGTAAATAAAATTATCCTGCTGAAGAAAAAATATATATATATATATATATATATATATATATATTGTTCTTAATTAAGTTTATCTCAACAATGCGCACCGCAAGTAAACAAAATCAAATTTGTGATGTCAAGTGTTTTTAAGTATGATTTACGGGCCTGACTTTTTAGGCTAAATATTAGTAATTTGAAAGACTTAAGTTATTTAAATTTGAAATTTAACTCATCAATTGATTTATATTGTAATCATTAAAAAATTAAAATTCATCATATTTAAAATTTAAATTTTAATATCTATAATTTTTTTTTCACATTTTTATGTTATAACCTCTTTATTAAAAAAAAAAACCCTTAAATCGGGATCCAACCTTTTTTTTTTTTTTTGAGTAAAATTGAAAGACTGTGGAACTCATGTTTCTTGAGAATTATCTACGGAGCTTGAAAGACTTGGGTCACTTTCTATCTCACTCATGACTGGAAGTCTTCGTCTTTGGTAGGGACAAATTTAAGACCAGTAGCTTAATAGAAATCAAATTTATGATAAATAAATGTCAAGTTTTTTTAAGTATGATTTACGGGCGGACTTTTTTAGACTAAATATTAGTAATTTGAAAGAGTTAAACTTATTAAATCTCAAACTTAATTCATCAATTAGATCATAACCTCATTTAAAAAAATAAAATTCATTAAATTTTAAATTTAAATTTCATTATCTATATTTTTTTATATTTTTATATTGTAGCTTCTTTTATTTAAAAAAAAAAAACCTTAAATCGCTTTAGAGGTCCAATCTTTTTTGAGTAAAATTAAACGACTTTAGAGGTCATATTTCTTGAGCATTATTTACGGAGCTTGAAAGACTTGGGTCACTTTGTATCTCACTTGTGACTGGAAGTCTTCGTCTTTTGTAGGGACAATTAATTTAAGACGAGTAGCTTAATGTCAAAATATGGGATGGAATTTGCAGTTCTCCTTGACTTTTTGATCCAGTTGATAGTGGCGTAATTTTCGTTTTCAACTTGTTTTAGCGTACCATTAATTCAAAATAATAAGCTTTTAATGGTTACAAACTTGCAACTACGTACAAAGATCGTCAGATAGATCCCATAACAACCAAAACATTTCCAACATGGACATCAGTCAAGGAAACAACCCATCTTGCAGTTTCCTGGTATATTTTTTTCTCTTGCTACTGCTCGTGTCTTCATGTTCAGGCAATAGCAATGTCAGCGTGAGATGCATGGAGACTGAGAGAAAAGAACTTCTCGATTTCAAGGAAGGTCTCATCGATCATTATGGAAGGCTTTCCTCTTGGGTTGGATTGGACTGCTGCAAATGGCAAGGCGTAAGATGCAACAACAGAACTGGTCATGTCACAGGGCTTCACCTCGGAAGTTATTCCTTGGGAGGAAAAATAAAACCTTCTTTGCTTCCCTTGCAACATTTAACTTTCTTGAATCTTTCGGACAATTCTTTTTGTGAGAACGAGATTCCCAAGTTCTTTGGCATGTTAAACAACTTGAGATACCTTGATCTCTCTCACTCATGCTTTGCTGGAGAGATTCCACCTCAGCTTGGGAACTTATCGGCCTTGAAGATTCTCGACCTGAGTTGGAATAGCGGTTTGCATGCAAAAAACCTTCTTTGGCTTTCAAGTTTTTCTTCACTGGAATATTTAGATCTAGAAACAGTGAACCTTTTTGACGTAGGAGGATATTGGTCGAAAGCAGTGAACATGCATCCATCTCTTGTGAGTTTATATTTGAATGATTGTGGTCTTACAAGCCTTGATCTTACCCTTCCATCGGTCAATCTCACTTCACTTGAGCTCCTCATTTTGCTTGACAATTCAATTACGTCTCCAATACCGCCCTGGTTCTCTAACCTAACCAATCTTGAAGTGCTTGATCTACAATCAAATAACTTCTATGGTACCATCCCGGGTTGGTTTGGAAACTTGTGCAAGTTGAGAATTTTGAGAGCCAATTCTAACCGTCTTCACGGTGGAATTGTTCAGTTTTTGGATCGTTTCTCGGCGTGCCAAAATAATAGCTTGGAGATCCTCTATTTAGGAGGCAACGATCTAGAAGGAAGTTTGCCAGCATCATTAGGAGCACTGAAGAATTTGCAAGAATTTGACCTCAACACTAATTTCTTTTGGGGTTCAATTCCGGCTTCTATAGGGAACTTATCATCCTTGAGATTCTTGGAACTTTCTGATAATAATCTCAATGGTACAATTCCCGAAAGTTTTGGGAAACTCGCTGAGCTGTCTATACTGAGTCTAGTAGGTAATCAAATGGAAGGTGTTTTGACAGAAACCCATTTAGCAAATCTCACAAAATTGGATTCTTTGAGGCTCACAACATACCCAAACAGGTCACTGATTTTTAATGTGAAATATGACTGGGTTCCTCCTTTCAGGCTTACAGTCCTCTTATTAAAAATTGCCAGGTAGGTCCTTCTTTTCCAGTTTGGCTTCAAATTCAAAGCAATCTTTTCTATGTTATAATTTCAAATGCTGGGATTTCGGACACCATTGAAGAAGAATGGTTTGCCAGATTATTTTCTAGATGTTGGCAGATAGATCTGTCTAATAATACAATCAAGGCCAAGCTACCCACACAACTTTACTCGACAAATCTGGATATAGTTGATTTGAGCAGGAATCGCTTCGAGGGCCAGATCCCATTTTGGTTGACTAATGCAACGCAACTGTATCTTCAGAGAAATTTATTTTCGGGTACTATTCCAGAGAACATTGGGGAACAAATGCCACAGTTGGAGACATTGTTTCTTTCTCGGAACCAGATTAGCGGTAGGTTGCCATCATCAATATGCAAAATGAAGGGACTAAAATTTCTCTCTGTCGGGCACAACAGATTCTCTGGAGAACTTCCAAATTGTTGGAGTAATTTGCAAAGCTTGAAAGTTCTGGATGCCTCAAACAATAGCCTATCTGGTAAAATCCCAAGTTCCCTGAGTTCGTTACATAACCTCGTTTTATTGATATTGAGCAACAATAATCTTCGTGGCAATATTCCTTATCCTAATTGCCGGCAAGTACCAAGGCTTTATGTTCTACAGCTTCGGTCGAACTTGCTTGAGGGGAACATTCCTGAACAACTTTGTTGTCTTTCTGGTATCCACGATTTGGATCTTTCAGACAATAATTTAATCGGGTCCATTCCGAAATGTTTCCAAAATTTCACTGCCTTGAAATATGGCAATTCAAGTTTGGATTACGAAGAGTTATTTGACCTCCAAGATAGTACCATTAATGAACTGACACTTCTGGTTGGGACTAAGGGAAGAGAACTTGAATATAGCAGAACCCTTCTACAGGTCAAGAACATTGACCTTTCAAAGAATAATCTTACAGATGAAATACCGGATGGGATATGTAGCTTGGCTTTTTTGGACACCTTGAATTTGTCAAGAAATCATTTCAGTGGAAGCATTCCCAAGAATATTGGTGATCTGCGATGGTTGGAGTCCCTTGATCTGTCGTACAACAATTTTTCTGGGCCGATTCCTCCAAGCCTCTCATCTTTGACAAGTTTGGGTCACTTGAAGTTATCATACAACAACTTGTCAGGAAGAATTCCAACAGGAAATCAGCTCCAAACACTCAATGATTCGTCCAACTACGAGGGCAATCCATTGCTCTGTGGGGTTCCCCTCCTAACGAAGTGTGCAGGTGACGACTCTCCTTCTACACCATCATCTCATCGTGGCGTTTCAAAAGACAAGCTATGGCTCTATTTTAGCATTGCTATGGGATTTGCTGTGGGATTTTGGAGTGTTTGCGGTACCTTGGTTTTGAAGCAGTCATGGAGGCATGCTTATTACCGGTATGTTGATGACTTGAAGGAAAGAATGTTACTTTGGATTGCATTGGCAGCTCGCTCGCGAAGGATGAATGATCGGGGAAATAATTAAGACATATAGGATTGCAATCTGTGCTTGCTTAATAATGTGTGTGTGTATGTTTTTTTTTCCTTCTTTTTCTTGGTCTGTTTGCAGTGGAAATGTATGCTATTTCCTTCTATCTTACATGTTACTTCTGTAGTTGTCGGACTATGCAGGAAGTATACATAAATGTTTCCTGTGGGTTGGACTTGACCGCCCCAATAAATATATATATTTCAAGAATTAGACTGCATGAATGAGGAGGTTAAGTCTGAATTAAAAATTAAAACATTAGTTTAACACATAAAGACAAAACTCCTACACAAGTTAGCTTCAAATTAAGAAAGTCTTTTACTTGATAAAATGCTCAAAAAGCCTTATATTTCTTTCATATGCAGTAGTTAGTTAAGTAAACGACCCAAAACAATTAGTTGACCTACCTTAATAATTTAAGTGATATATGCACTTGTAACCATAAATTTTCTATATATAATTTAATTAAAATATAAATGATAAACCACATTCGCATGGCAGACAATAACTAATTTAATGATTTTCACACGAAACTAAATTACTAATAAGTATTTGTGAACTAAAATTTTCTTTTAATATTATTTTGAATAATAAAAAATAATAATTTTTTAACTCAAAATTTAATTTAATCGATTTATGTAATTAATTTAAGAGATGATATATATTTATCAAATTTCAATAGTTATAATTTTTTTTATCTTCAATTTACCGTATTTTTATCAAAGAAAAAAAAATTATAAAACTATATCATTACATATTGATGTTATCTATAGCATGATATATATTGTGATTAAACTCGCAAAATGACATAATAATAAATAAAAAATTTCATTGACATTTATTTATTGTGATTAGTTGCAAGTACTCATATATTGAACCCCTTTTTCAAAATTTAAGTACTAGGGATTAATTAATAGAAATGTCTTCATCCAAAAAATAATAATTCGGAGAAATGTCCCCTAATACATGCGATGAATTTTAATCGATGAGAGTCGGCCCACATGGCAGCTCCCTGACAGAGTAGCCTCTGAGATGTTTTGTTGTTGGCCCAAGTCATAACATGCAACGTGAACTGGCAGTGCTTACGTGGCCAAATTACTTGCCATGACATCCATTGTGGACCCACGATTATGACTTCCACGTGGAGTGGCCACCCCATAGGGCAACTAAGGACAAAACTGCCGTGTCAGCATAAGGCAATTTGGGTCTAGACAATGACGTGGCAAGATCTAATTCATTCACGTCATTGAATGCCACGACTGCTGTTCTGCACTTTATCAAGAACTTTTAGGAAGCAGATAAATATTTTTTTCACCCCTTTAAATTTATGTATTCAGTATTCAAAATGGGAGGTGGTTTCAGTCAGGGCGTAAAATGACAAGACATGTTATCTGAAATACATACCAATTAAGATCTCAAAGTATGGTCGCCACTACTTGGATAAAATACAGTTTTTGTTTTCTTTCCCAGCAGGTAACCTGTAAATGCTCATGGCACAGAGAATCTCATAAGTTATGGATTGGATCTATCAAGGAGTCCCATCTCTAACACAGTTACATTAACGTGGCAAAGTTGTAAACTAAGGCTATTGCCATCAAAGGGCAGCATGCAAGACACCCATGTAGCTCTTTGATCTGATAAGTCATCTAACGTGGAATTCCCTGCTTTAGCCAAAAGGTGAAAGAAAGAAGTTGAGAAGCCTAAAGAAGTGACATCAATAGCATTTAGAGATGAATGGTACAATATGTACAATCAATAGTGATATCAGTTGTCCAATCCTAAATGAATGGTCTACTCGTTTGAGAAATTAATAACAATATCCAGCATGCTTTTATGGGAAGGTGCGGTGGTCATTGGAAAAGGGAGCAAAGTCTAAGAGAAGATTTCACAAAACCCTCAAGCTATCTCCCAAATGGTTTAGGGTTTCTCATTCTTTGAGGTTGTTTCTAAAATTTGTTGTCTTTCTTGGGTTTCATTTTGACACAAATATTGAACATAGTGGAAAGCTTCCCATGAATTAAAAATACAAACTACATATGTCCCCCTATAGTCCATAGTTAAGTATCCTAAAACAAAACCCACACACAATCCATAATTGAACAATGGGGCAATGGGGTGCCCAAATGATTAGTCATTTTCTTTGACAAAGTATGGCTTCATCACTTTATAAGGGAAAGAAAAAGGGGGAAAAGGCAAAGAAAGTGGAAGAAAAATCCCATTCTTTTTCCAAGTTAAAATTGGGAAACTTACTGTGGGTCCTCCAACAGCCAAGTAGTATATATTAAGGTAGGCATTTCCCAGGCAATCGACAATTCAGAAGGTCTAACATTCAAGTTCCTACACCAAGAAAGAAAGAGAAACCACAAACTGAAACACACCTTCTTCAACTGACCTTAGAATACTACATCTGTTAACATTTTCTCTGTTCTTCAGAAGCTTTTCTGCAAATGAGGCCTTGCTGCATGGTAGTCTCTCTTCTGATGTTGTTCATTTTCCTTTCTAGTGTTCAAGGTAAGCCAAGAAATCTTTCCTGGTAACAATAGGGCTCCTTTTTCTGCATTGCCATTACATATCATTAAGTTCTGACATTTTATGTTCTTGTTTAAAGGGATTCGCTTGGAGAAAAGTTTTAAATCAGCAGGGCATCATAAATTGCACGTTAGTATTCAACACAAGTTGAATATTTTTCAAATCGAACCTTTTTTGCTTCTATTTTTTGCTCCTTTTTTCCAATATTGAATTGTAAAACTTGTTGCTTTATGCAGGAGCGTGCTTTGATGAAAAACAGCAGTGGAGTTATGGAAGATGTCATTCTCTGCAAAGGAGGGCATTGTACAGGTACCAAGCAGAAAAAAGCCTCTAGAGTATTGATGAACAAATCACACCACTGGCTACCAAGCATTCATGAAGATTACGATGGACCTATGAGGCACAGACCAAAGCACCATTAAATTTTCCCTCCCCTAGGATTAGTTTTCTTACATAATTTAGACTAATATGCCTAGGTAGTATCATTCCTTAAAACTCTTATAAGAACCGGGTCTCAGAACGGTTGAACCCAACACCATGTAATCTGACAAAGCAGTTTTGTCCACAGAGAACCTTCTCTAACTATGTTTATGGGGCATTTTGTGTGAGAATTGTGTGGTATAGACTATATACGCTAAAGTTTTATCAATCAAAACTCTAGAAAAGTTCATAATTCACATTGTCTTGTGTTGTACCAAATCCAATAGACATATCTAAAGCAGATTTTTTCACATTCATTTTTGCAGGAAAAGGTAGGAAAGTTTTTACTGCAACTACTGCTAGTACTCCTACATCTACCACCAGTTCAAAGGTTGGTTTATAGTTACTACCAGTTAATCTAAATTTCCATAGCTAGGGTTTAGATCTTCTCCCCCTACACGACATTATATGCTCTCCATGTATACAGAGCGGAGAGAATGGAGAAAACAAAGCAAACACTACTTCAAAAGTCAAACCAGGCAACAAAGAAAACGGTGGGAAGCAAGAGAAATCCCCTGTTGGGTCACCGACAACTTCCGAACACCAGGAGGTCCATGATGACCAGTATGCCGACATAATGGACATAGCTGAAATGGACTATTCTCCAGCCAGGAGAAAACCTCCAATACACAACTAAGAGTAGGGAAATGACAGAAGACAACATAAAAAGAAGCAAAAGTTTTCCAGGATAATAAAGGAATACGAAATTGGACAGCCTTCCAGGAATGATGCAGTTTTTTTAGGGTTAGGAATGAACTTTGTGCATATATTATTTTATAATCATAGTTATTGTTAAACCATCACTTTTGATGATTGAGCAATAATGCAGCCTTTTTAGAGCATTTCACTTACAATTTTTTATTGCAATCCTAACTGATAATACAATTCTCTGATTTTAGGAACTGAAGATTCATTTTTTCACTCATGAATTGGTTGGACAATGATCTAGATCTTATAAAGGAGATGTCTTAGATATAAAAAATGCGAATGTCATTAATCCAAAAAAAAGGGAGGACAGAATTTAATAAAATTGTACAAACAAGCGCAAAAACTAAAAAGTGCAGAAAAAAATGAAGTAGGCCTGAATTAAATGAAGTAGGTTTGGAGCTTCATCTGACATTGACTCTGTGTGTTTTTTTCTTTACAAGGTTAGTGGTCCACCAGGGATCTTGGGCTAGACCCACCAGGAATATGGTGTTCGAATAGTCACTGGTAGGTCTTACATGTGGGCTCTCATGTTATCTGCTGGGTCACCTATGCTGTGGCCTCAAGAGGCAAGATTTCGGTGTTCCATGCAAATAAATAAATGCTTAGCTTGGTCTGGTCTCATCATCTAGTACAGATAAGTTGTTTTGGGTTCACTGCAACCCTTGATGGGAGGACAAATACAGTTGTTTCCGATATGATTGCATAGCAGTTACTGGCCCGAGAGGAAAAATTTTTTACTCTTTTTTTCTTATCAAAGTTCACAAGGCCCAAGTGGACATCAATATACATGAAACGATAATAGGTGAGTCTGTTTCTGGTAGGGTCGATTAGGTAGGGTCACCAGGCAGCAGAGTCCATTCCTGACTGTCCGCTGATGCCGATACATATTCTAATAGGATCCAGAGTTCCAGACAAGGCTGCTTGGTAGCTAGCGAATCTCGAGATGCGTCTTTCAAATAAGCAGTGTGAGCTCTCTACAAAGGTGTGAAATATAAGTTCTCAAATGTCTGATGAGTGATGAATCCCTATTCCCTAGCAACAAATTTCTAGGTGTTGAATGTGTAAGAAAGGCCTTGCTGTTCACAGCAATGATCTACAGTACCATCCAAACATAGAAAGACTGAATTACTTCTGACTATCTGGTTTAGTTGCTAAATGAGAATACTTCATTGAACACAATTCAGAGGTGGGTTTGCAAAAACAAGCGACGATGGATATTGCAACTTGAAGGGCATCCCAAGCGATGGAGTCAATGAGGAGCAAGAGTGGGTAGGAGAAATCTATATGTATTAGGAATGGATTGTATTCCACCATACACAAGTGCACCTATGCAAGCATCCAAGTAATTAGACAATAAAAAATAACTTGTAGAAGAACAAAAACATGATAAAAAGATCAATAGTAGGAAATATATATATATATATATAATTGTGGTGAAAATATACCAAAAAGATGGCCTCATGGCATCCACCAATGAGCTAACATTTTTGTTTACTGTTAATGGTGCTTCTTCGTGGATGAAGTCCCCATGATAAAGCATGGTTCCTCAAAGATATACAACCATTGAAATGATCTAACCAGTGAAAAAAGGGTGCTCAATGTCCCACTCCTCGCACTCACTGATACAATTCCTCAAATTTTGTCTCGTTTTAATGCAATGAGATGTCAATATAGTAGTTAAACGTTTAACACTCACCCTCGTATGTGATTGGATAATAAATTCAAGTTAATTTAGCATATGCATAAACAGAATACATTATCGTAATGAAACATCATGGTATTTCTTCACATAAGCTTATCATTCAATGTGTCTTTTGCTGTTTGTTTTTTGATTCCTCAAAATTTGGTTGAAAAAGCAACTAATCATGATGCTCGACACAGTTCTTATAGTTAGCCATAGTGGTTGAATTTAACATATTAAAGAGGAAAACTAATTGAACATGACATGATTTAAGCTTAGATTTCCAACTCCAAAGATGTCATGTAAGCTAACAAAGCAAAACCCAAGAAGATATGTGGCAGAACTCTCTTGTTTGAATTCCTGGAATGGCAAATATGATTGGCCACAAGAAGAACAGAACAAGGAACCCAAAAAAAAAAAAAAAACCAGAAGGAAAAATAAAGCATACCTTTGAATATAAAGGAAAAGATGAGACTGTAATTTTTCCTTACGGAGCAACTGTCAACCAACATTCAAATTCAGTGGCGAATGATTTCTCTTTTTTTTTTTTTTTTAATATAATATATAGTAAAAGTTTTTGTTTTCCTGGGGTGTGATTTAAGAAAAGAAAATTATATTCGAGTCGTAAGACTTGGTAAATGGATAGAAAAATATAAAGATAAAAATTAGAGGAAAAAAATAAAAAAATATTTAAAATATTTTTTCTTATTAAAAAAGATAAAAAATGTAAAAAATCAATTATTTGTTAAAATTAAAAATTAAAGTAGGGAAAGTTTAAAATTATATTGTTCTACTATCATTTTTCCTATAATTTAAGATCAAAAATAAATAAAATTTTAAAAATTATGAATAATTTGCAAATATGTAACATTTTTTAATGAAATTATGTAATATAATTTTACATAAAAATATGTTACATTTAACTTATATCAATTTTATTTATCTGACAAGTGTGCTTGATGAGATGTCACGAAGGAATTTTAATAAAAAAAATATATCAAATGTTATTATGACATTAGGTGATGATTATTTCATTTAATATTAACATTAATTTTGAATATTAAATTGACAAACGAAAAGATAGGATAAATAACACATTATATATTTTAAAAATAATGTATCATGATAAAAAAATTATTAAAATACATAGTCAAATATTTTTTTAGCAGTCACAATAAAATATGATATTAATTTATTAAAAAAAAAACAAATACTAAACTTAAGTCGGTCCCATTAACAAAAAAACACCTTATAATAAAAGGCTTATCCATTTTCTTACCTTACTGGTACGAGGTTAGGGTTAGGCAATTAAAAACAGTAAAAAAAAAAGGTTGAAAAATCAAAGGGTAAAGATGGCCACCCGTAAAAAAATTTTTTTTGTGCCTTGAGTTGAAGAGTAGATTCCCATTTGACACGCAGCAGCCACGAAGCGGAGAGACAGAGATTACACATCAGCTTAAGAAAACACAAAAGAGAGAAATGAAAAGAGGCGGAGGGAGCCGAGAGAAACTTTCTGTTCAATTTGGCTCGGTTGTATCTGTCTCTCTCTTATTAGTTTCTCCTTCTGTTTCGTTTGAGAGCTAGACACCTCTCTCTCCCTCCCTCCCTCCTCAATCTTCAGCAAGGTATATCTCACCTTGGGTAACTTCAAATTATGTTATTTGGTCTATGTTTGATGAAAATTCCTTTTTGATCATGTAATTAGTTTTTTTTTTTTTTTTGGGTCTCTAATTTGGGTTCTTTAAAATTTTGGTTTTTAGTCTGTTTTGGGTGGTTAGAATGGAAAAGGTCGTGTCTTTTGTTTGGAATTTTATAAAACCCTAAACTTGCTAATGGGGTGATCAAATGGGGACATGGGTAATATGATGAGGTTTGATTTTTTTTTTTTTTGGTTGCTTGCATGTAAGCTTAGGAATACAAATTTTGAACTGGTTCTTTGATGGGGTAAACTGTGTTGTTCAAAGTTTTAGTCACGTTTAGGGAGAGTGGAAGTTAGCTTGTATTCTGCATGTCTGACCTAAAAATAAATGTTCTTTTAAGTTAAAAGTGGATTTTGAGTTCTTGCAGTAGCAAATGGATTTTAGTTATATGAGCCACGAGCTTTTTTGATTTATTTGAGGGGAAAGGTGTGAGTTTTCTTTTTGGGAGCTTACTGATTCTTTTGTATAATAAATAATTAATTCCGTGAGGTTGCTTATATAATTTTGTTTGAACTTAGTACAACTTCCAGATGTTTATAAATACTGATGGATATGCTTTTAAATTTTTTATGATGGGAACATTATAGTGGAACGAGAACATTTTCATTAGTGTATGAGGAGATGAGAGTAGCTCTAATAATTCATGGTTGTTTGTCTAAAAGGAGTTAAAAATTTCACTTATAATCTCATGCAATTGTTAATGCCACCTGCTTTACTAATGATTGAAATGATGTCTAATTGATTTCAAGATACTGGATATTAGATACTCGTTAAAAGGTGAGAGAGATGACAGTTGGAACAGAATGTAAAGAACATTGCCAAGTATGCCTAAACATTTCACTTGGTCAGATTTTTTTTAATAAATTTGTTTGTTTCTGGTTTTAGCACTGGCGATGTTAGATATGAAGTTTCATGTTGTTCATCTTATTGGTGGATTAGAATTCAATTTCCTTGCACTTCCTTCTTTTTAACATATTTATGGGAGATCGGTATGTCCTATGGAAAGTTTCCTGTCTTACCAAATAGGATCTAGCCTAGTTGTAGCCATCAACTTGATTAATCCTTGGTTCTAGGTCCAATTAAGTTTATGTCTAAAGTGTAAGGAATTTTTGGTTGATGAAAATAGTTGTTGTTTGGTAATCAATGATGGTATTTCTTTGTGATTATTATTGTATCTTTTCCCTTCGCCTTTTTTGCGTTTCCCTCAAACAAGTTATAAAACCAGAGACAAGGGCTTGAATGTACTTGTTATCACGCTGTTTTTTCTGCTAGAATTGTTGATTACTCTTGTTTGAAATCTGTCATAATTGTATTTGAGTTTATGTGCCTTCATCATCAAACTTGGCAGATCTGTTGAAAATACATAAGTTAGCGATCTTATAAAACAACATGATTTCTTTATAGAGGAAACAACCTTTTTTTCAAATAAATCAGATTACCATCTTGTTTGTTTTTATTTTTATTTTTTTTATATACTATTAACCCAAAATATTCATGCTTTGCATAATTGATTTAAAGTCCACTGGCATGTGGTAGATTCTGGGACATTTGCATTTAAGGATCATATGAATCTAAAATCCTTTACAGTGTCAGTTTCATTAATCTAGGTTTCAATCTGCAGGCGTGTTGGGTATTTCTATCCTTTGGTGGAAATGGCGAATTATTGTTGTCACGGTCAAAATTAATTCTGGTGCGATCTGATTAGAACTGCCTTTTTGAAACATTTGCCAATTCTCTCATTCGTAATATCATTTATCCTCTATTTTGGGCTTTATAGATTTTCTCATTTTCAGATTTGGAATTATTTATCTCTCTTTTAAGTTATGGTTGGCTATATATGGTAATTGGAGCCAAATGGATCATAAAATTAATTAGAATGCCTTTTATATGCACCTGGGTAGATGGTGTTCAATTTGAGTTTGAATTCCTTGACAAATAACATCGACTTTTTATAACAGTGCTACCCTTGTTTGTACACTTCATATGTGTAAGAGTTCTGCTGTAGCCTCTGTTTAAGAAGTGCAAAGGGGAAGGAGAGAGAGCAGAGGAAGAGGAGAAAGCGGGAAAGCAGAAGACAAGGTTCCTCTCGTTGTATATGCTTAAAAAAGAAGAGGGAGAAGACGGAAAGAAGTCGGTATTTTACTAACCTAGTTTGGCTGAGGAGTGGAAAAGTAAGGAAATTTACCTTACATGTTCTTCTTAATTATATTTATATCAAAAGGCAAATTTGTCTGTACAAAACAAGACTTTTGATGAGGAATCCTTTCTGTTCCATTAAAATGTTTCTCAAACGCAGGTGAGGGTACCATTCCTCTACCGTTTCTTCCTTCTCCACAATCGAAAAAAACCTTATTGTTTATATATAGTGGAAAATCTTTTTGTTTTGTTGGAGGTGGGGGGGGGGGGGAATAGAAGAAAATAAAATAGATAGAAAATTTCATTGATGGCAACTTACTTTAGTTTTGTTGAAAGTGTTGTTCACTTAATTTCTTAAGTAGGTGTTGTATACTTGACTTTTATGGGGAAGCGAATGCAAAATTTTGGTGATTTTGTTTAGTGAGCAGGGTTGATTTTTCCATGTGCTGTTTTATATCTGTTATTTCTAGTGAATACTTACGTAGTAATGATTAAACTTAGTTTTTCCGTTCCATTAAAAATAAAACATTTACTTTTGCCTCCTCTAAAAGTTTCATTGTGTTTCTTCATTACAGGTGTCTGTCTGGGCAGAGGAAAATGGGAAGCACTGGTGCTGATAAAGTCCCTAGAAATACTGCAACTGAAGGTTCTGAGACCACAATAGAAATAAAAATAAAAACGTTGGACTCTCAGACTTATACTTTGAGAGTGGATAAACAGGTAAATTACCTTCACTTTGTTTTGTCATGATCGAACCCAAGTTCTGATAGTGTGTTTGTGTGTATTGAGATGGGGTTGAATTCACCAATTACAGTTTGTTAATGTATATATTACTTAGAAGTTCTTCTGTCGAGCTTTCTTTTGACAGATCTTGGAATTTTCTTAAAATCTTTTCTTCATTTTTTTTCAAGAACTTAATTGGTAATGAAAGCATGTTCTATAATTTTGCTAGTAGCCATAACAACGATGATATGATAGCTTCCTACAGTTACCGGGCATTTTACTTTATGGTTTCTGATATTTATGTGGGTAGTTGAGGTTTTCTAATCTTATATCTTTTAATTTCCTTCTGAATGGCTTGCTGCATATGCTAGTGTATTTGTTCTTGATTTTATATGAGGAATTGTCTAACACTAAGTCACTGTGTTGTTTCTTGTCTCTGAATATCTTATAGATGCCAGTTCCTGCACTAAAAGAACAGATTGCTTCTGTAACTGGCGTGTTATCAGAGCAACAGAGACTAATCTGTCGCGGAAAAGTTCTAAAAGATGACCAACTACTTTCTGCATACCGTATCCATTTTCTTTTTAATATCTGTATTCATTTGTAAACTATCAGAATTTATTGATTTTCTTAGGTAAGAAGTTGTTTCATTCTATTTATTGTCGCTATTTTTTTTTGGGTGCCCATGTTTTAATGTTTACAATGTAACTAAATGTTAATCAGTTTAGACAGATGACATTCTTATGCCTGCTCTTTATTGGTTGCTGAATAGAAACAGGGATTACATTATGTATTTTGTCCTTTATCATTTCTGTTCACATTTAGAATTTGAGCTGAGTTTCTTAACTGGAGGTAGATGTTGAGGATGGTCACACCTTGCACCTCGTGGTCAGGCAGCCGGTTCCTCCATCATCTGATGGCTTACCTAATCATTCAGGTTTTGCTACACTTTAAGATCCGTTATCATCATTTTTTTGGTCTAAACATTGCATGAGTTCGTGCTTTTCACAAAAAAGAAAAAAAAATTGCATGGGCTCTATGCTCCTGTTTTATTTGAAGCAAAAGCCTTGTTGTCCTTTGCTAGTATCTTTAATTTGATGGATTACTGGTTTTGGACCTAATTAATGCCTGACATGTGTGAAGTGTTCAACTCAGAATGCAATTCCTTACAAAAGCTAGTTTTTCTTTACTGTTTGCCACATACATGTTTGAAACAAACTGTTGTCCAGTAAAGAGTTTTATGTTCTTTATTGTTATCTGTTGGGCATGGTATGTGGTTTTGCAATACAGGGTATGCCTCCTTCTACACCTTCTCCAATTTTCCTTTTTCATATAATTACTTTAATGCTAGTGGCTACAAAAACTTCCATTGGATCATTTTAACCTTGGTCTGACAAGTACAGGACCTCATAAGAAAGTCCTTTGAGTGCTGCTTCTGCAAATGTTAAAAGAAACGTGTGTACAGCACCTCCCTATTAATGTTGCTTCTGTAAGGGTACTAATACTTATTTCCTTATTGAATGATAGAATTGAAATTTATCAAAAAAAATGTCAAACAAGTAGAGTCATAATAATTTGTTCATTATCTTTGCTGCTTTTGAAAATTTCTGGGTGCAAACACTATCGACCTTTGTGGTTTGCCCCTAAAAGCAAACAAGTCTATTCTACGCTTTTTGTTCTTATATATAGTAGAGATCAAATGGTGAATAATTAGCAATACCTATATTCAACAACTAATAGCTTTTGAATATCAGAATAAGAATTTTTACTATAATTTTAAACAACAAAGACCATTTGTCCACTTAAATATAATCTGAATGGCCTTTTCGACTTGTTATTGTTCTGTTCTAGACAGGATTACACTTTAAGCACCTTTTACTGCTCAGTTTTTTTTTTCTTGGACAAAATTTCAATAAACTTTGTCGAAAATGTTGCCTTTGTGGTAGAGACAGCGGTAGTAACATGGTTGGAAGGAAATGTTGATCCTGACTTTCAACAGTTTTGCCCAGAAGCAATAAGGTTTGTTGGGATAAGATGAATTCATGTTGATGTGTATCTTTTTTGGGGGCTTGAAAGTGGTCTTGTAGTCAATAACAAATGGACTTCTAACTGTTATGCCGTTCAGAGATTAAAATGTGGTAGCTGATGTTGACCGAGATCAGATGTTGGCTGACATAATTCTTATTATTTGAATTATTCAAGAACACTTCTTGCATGAGCATTCTTTCTTGTATGCTGGTTGCCCATTCTCCAGTATAAACTGTGATATTTTTGTAATATATATTTTTTGATAATGTGTTTTTAATATTTATTTATCGTCCATCACTTATGTTTCTGAAAAAGGGGGGGAAGCTGGTTAAGATTTAGTTTTTAACATTTAGTACTATTATTTGCAGCAAATGATCCTGGATCAGGTACAAGCCGCAGTCATAGTAATCATGTCCCAAGTGTTGTGATAGAAACTTTTAATGTGCCTGATCAAGGGGATGGAGTTCCTCCTGAAATCGGTCGGGTAAGCTTGCAACTGGGTGTGAAATGGAGAACATTTCTAAATCGGAATTATATCCTTTTACAATGATTTTTTAATTTTTAATTTTCTTCTTTCCTTCTGAGCAGATTGTCTCTGCCGTTCTTGGCTCTTTCGGATTTGCAAATATGGCAAGTGGCAATATTGGGGGTGACGTTAGGGTAAGTCTTAATTTTTCAATTTTCGTGATGTAATGACAGTTATTTTAATGTTTGAACTTTTGTTAGTTTATTGTTGCTCTGATATATAATGAAAAATATCTTCGACTGCATTGGCATGAAATAAATAACTTAAAAGAGAGATCCACAAGAATAAAAAATCCAAAATTCTAGTTTTCAGAGGTCCATTTTGGGCCGTGGCTTAACAGGATGAAATGCTGACAATCTCTTAAGAGGTCTTGGAAAAGTTTGGCTTTGGGTTTTACTAGTCTAAAATCTAAAGGTTTTTTATATGCTTTAATGTCTATGGTCGTCTTTATGTGTGCCTAAATTCATATCATCTTACTTCCTGCGTGTTGTTGGATACCAAAGGAACATGGTTCACAAAGACTTGAAAGAACATCTGGTGGTAGTGACATGCAAGATTCATCCCAGGTTCAAACTGAACAAGTTAGCATGAGGAGTCAGTCTGATAGAGCACAGAGTGCTTTTGGACTTCCAGCAGCAGTTTCCTTGGGTCCTCTGCAGCCTCCTGTGAGTATAGAATTCCTTGCTTTCTTACTAATTTGTCTGTCTCTTTGTATGTGCCAAGTGGATTTGTTGTTCTTTATGAAATAAATCTTATGGCATGCCTATTTTTGGGCTTAAGTTATTATATTCTTAATGGTCTTCATTTTTGTAGGTAATTCCTGATTCTTTGGCTACTTTGTCTCAATATCTGAGTCATATAAAGCATGAATTTGATGGCATTGGTTAGTTTTACTTTGTTAAAAAATATAAATATGTTATCTCTGTTGGTTACTCCAAAGAATACTGGTTCATTGATGATTTGCAACTCATTTGACTGCATGGTACAGCTGGGGGAAATGAACCTCAGGTAGCTTCCATGAATAGGACTGGAGATAGAGATTCTAACTCTGCATTAAATTCGGGGACTATACGGGAAGGTCTTCCAACGCCTGCATCTTTGGCAGAAGTGTTACTCTCTACCAGGCAAATGCTCATTGAACAAGCTGGAGAATGTCTACAAGTTTGTCCTTTACTACCTTTTTTCTCTCTTTCTTAAAGTTTACCTGTATATGTAACAGCTTTCCTTGTTCATTGAGGTGTGAATACTTGGCCTGAAAGGGAAAGAAAGAATCAGGAGGGGGGAGGGGGAAAGTGTTATTTGTCATGGCCTTGTAGATTTTTTTTGTAGTCATCAATAATTTGTTTTATTATGCCTATTGGCAGCAACTTGCAAGGCAACTGGAGGATCAAGGAAATGTGACTGACCCCTTAGCACGGCTGAGTGCACAGACCAATGCTTGGAGAACTGGAGTTCTACTACAGAGCCTAGGCTCACTTTTACTTGAGCTTGGTCGTACAACCATGACATTACGCTTAGGTCAAACACCAGTAAGATAATTTCATTCTAAATCCATACCATTGAACTCTTTTTTATATCATTTGTGCTCTATGTTGCTATAACTTATTTCTTTTGCAGTCTGAAGCTGTTGTTAATGCTGGACCTGCAGTTTTCATATCCCCTTCTGGTCCAAACCCTCTCATGGTTCAGGCAATGTTCTAAAAGCTTCTCTGAACCTTTTTATTTGATGTAAACAATTTTTAATTTCTGCTGATATATCTGTTTTTGTTTAGGCTCTTCCTTTTCAACCAGGAGCTAGCTTTGGTGCCATTCCCATGGGAACTGTACAGCCTGGATCAGGTTTGGTTAGTGGACTTGGGACAGGGTTTCTTCCTAGGCGTATTGATATACAAATACGAAGAGGTATGATATGCCCGGCTATTTTATGTTGTCTGATATTTATTACATTTTCAGGCCAAAGACTGATGTTGTATTTACCATAAGGTTCATCGATGGCAACACCCAATATTCTTCGACAGGAACATCATGATACCACACAACAATCAGGCCAAAGGAACCCATCAATGGGCTCTGGCATTGAGAATCAAAGCACTCAAACAGCTTCAGGGGTCTCAGATACTCCATCTTTTGCTGGAGAATCAGGAGTGAGGGTGGTGCCTATTAGGACAATGGTTGCGGCTGTACCTGCTCCCTTGGGTCGCCTACCTTCAGATTCTTCTGGTAATTCTGTGGGATTATACTACCCATTGCTTGGAAGGTTACAGCACATCGTTCCTGGACATGTAAGTGGTGAACAGGGATCTCAAGCATCTGGTGAGCATTTGTCCCCTGGTGCTCAATCTGAGCAGCCCCCTATTCCTGAATCTGCAGTGCAACATCAAAGTCCGGAAGAATCTGCAAGAGATGGTAATGATAAATCCTGCACTTGACCTTACTAATGAGGTTGGGTGTTCTCATATGAATAAATGCTTGCTGTTATGAACTTTATTTTTTGTGACAAAAAGTAGAACCTTTTTTCATTCCAAGACCGAAGAACATGGCAGCTGACTGGTTACTAAATGGAGTTGTAGCCAGGACAGTGTGCTTAAAATTCTTTCCTCCCACTAGTTTATTTTCTTACTCTCTAACATGTGGGGCCTTTGTCACTCCCACTCTACTATGAACCAATTTACTGGGTCCTTGGACCCTTTCTTGACCAAATATATATATATATATATGTATATGTATATATGCATTCTCATTCCATGCTGCGTTGTTTTGCCATATCTTTTGTTGTTAGTTTCTGCAGTTCGAAAGTTCTCTGTGTCATTTAACAGAAGGGCTAATTAAGTCAAAAGAAAGAAAAATGAATAAGAAAAGGTGAAGTTGACCAAGAGCGGTACTTTGAGGAACTTACCATTAAATTGCTTCTTGGTGTAGGTTCATTACCAAATGCTAATTCAAGACAACAGGAGCCATCCAATGCACGTAGTGTCAATATCAGCATTCTAGCAGCTGGCAGGACTCAAAACAACCAAGACTCTGAGAGACAAACTCCTAGTAGTATTCTTCAGTTTTTAAGATCTATTTTCCCTGGTGGTGAAATCCAGGTAGAGGAAGCCAGTTTACAAGGAACAGTTACAGATGCTGCCCAGGAGCAAGCAGGAACATCCAATGGTGCTCCAGCAGCTGAGCAGAGCATTACTGATCAAGGGGTGTTTTTATCTAATTTGCTTCATCAGATTATTCCGTACATATCTCAGCAAACAGGTTCACAACAAAGTACAGTGCCTACAGAAGAAACAAATACTTCCACCCAGGTAAGGATGCTTCTTGTAATTAGTTATTTTTGTAGTGGCTGTATATGCATCCGTTCTGAACCATGGACTGCTTGTTTGATTGAGTTCTTACTAATCCTTTCCGTCATCAAATATGGATGGAGAGTTAATGAAAGTATAGCAACTGGGATAAAATATAATGTTGAAGTCAACAACAAAGATGCTAAATACTGCTGTATTTGCAGGCTGAGAACTCCAGCACTGGGAATTCACGTAGACCAAGTGACTCTGAACCAAACCCACCAAACTCAAAACGGCAGAAGGTACTGGTTCTGAGTACTTCTATCAACTCATCTATCTTCTTTTGCCTTTTATCATATTCCCTGTTAACTCCTTACCTGTGTCTCACTCAGAAGCTATTGGCAAAACCTTGTAGATTAGTCCATCTAGTAATTCAATTAACAATGGTTTCTTGATTATTTCTATATTGTATTGCTTCCACATGATCTCTGTCCACTTTTTAATTGATAATATATGGAGGGTGCGGGCCATGGATTTATCTATATACAGTATTGCATATTAGTACATAAGAAGCTTGGTTAAGGCAGGCTTAAATGTGTTGCTGGTATGGCATAAAAAACATTTCATAGATAACTTGTCAACAGCAAGATTTGCTAGTTTGATCAATTTTGTATGAATGTCTGATTATTATGACTATCTTATTTTTTAAACTCTTGAATAGTTAAAAGATTTTAAGCATGTGATTATTATTGTTTTGAGTAAATAACAGTTAAGACTGAGAGAATGAGACATTGGTGTATCTAGACAGGTAACAACTGAAATGCTGCACAATTTAATAGAAAATCATCCTATAATATTTGCAACAGCATGTAAAAGAGGAATATTTAAGGTTAATGGAGTTAGCAAAAATTATTAAAAGAATGGGGAGATGTTTTCACTTTGATATATAAAGCATATTTGTTGCTGCAAACTGGTTTATTCTTTAGATGAATTCTATAGTTCTTCCCCTTAAGGAATCAAAGTATGTACTGGTATCATGTACATAGAATGTTAGCTTAGTCTAAAGTTATGGTACGAAGCAATACAGTGTAAAATTCCATTGTAGAATATGAAAGGTGAGTTGGATTTTGGATTGTGTTAGATGTAATGATGAGTCTTGAAACACATTTTTGTTGCAACGCCTGATGTTTAGTTTTTGTGGATCACTTACCTATGAAATGGCTTTTTGTTGCAGATGGAGTAACATATCAAGAAATGGAGGATTTAATCAATCTTTCCGTGCTTATGAAAATCGTGATTGCTGATTCAAGTTCTTATGAACTGTGGCGTGACTTTCATGTTAAATGTGGTATATCATGGTTTTTTCTTTTATTGCAAATAAGAAGTGATATTTCCATAATTGATATAGGGAATATGTTGGTACATTTTTTTGGGTTTTTTGGAATAGTGTAACATAGTAGTAATATATGTTTTCTCTAGCCCCCATTTATCATCTAGCTTCACTTCAGCGACTATGGCTTTGGATTCCCTGCTTTATTTTTGTGCATCCAAAAAAATTGCATCAAGTGGTATATCTCTATTTCAGTTTAATCTCTAAGTGTATTAAAGGTGGAATTGTGAAAGGGCAATCTATTAGAGCATTGGAGGTAACGTGGGGAGATTTTGCTTTTAACCATTGCACATCCTTAGCATGCAACCATGCTAGCATGAAGCATCAAGCAAGCCTCTTACTCTCTTGCTTTTTCTTGGCTCAAGTGAAAATTCCAACATATCATTTATGGCTTGGCTCTGATTGAAATGCTGTTGATTGAGTCATGAAATTTGACAAAGTAAGCCTTGTGCCCTTATGGTTGGTAACTCCTTTTTGAGGGATAACTAGGGCTTTTTCAGCAAACTTCAAATGTCGAAGGATGAGTCCAAACATTTATTCTTTATTCTTGCTATCACATGAGTCGTTCTATCAAACCGCAGGTAGTACAAATCACTCATATCTTTTGAGGAAAAAAATGGTTTTACTGAACCAAATCTGCCAATTAAATGGCCATTTACTTATTTAAAAAATAAAATAAAATCCGAAAGACTCAAAACTACATAGATATGTGACAATCATTTTAATTTAAAATTAAAATTTTCATTCATTATTAGTGTATAAAAATTTAATTCATATAGGAAAAGGAAAAGGACAAAAAAAAAACAGTGTAAAAAGTTCTTGGCTCACTCAAATCGTTGATGAATCTTTCAATTCTATTTTATAGCAATTATTCTATGCTAATTTTTTAACTTAATTATACTCTATTCATCAAAATAAAATATATGATTCTCCTCCAGGAAAATTAGAACTTTATTTATGACATTCAATTTTCTCTAGAAGTTTCCATTTTGAGGACTAAAATAATATTTTAAAAAGTAAGGAGTTAAAAGTTGACTGAAAATTCAATTGCAAGGGCATTGTCGGAAAACGAAACCGAAGACTCAATTATTTTGACGTTTTACGTAACTCGCGATTCCGGTCCACACAGAGACAGGTACATCGGAGCTCTTGTCCTAAAATCCCAGGTACGTCGGAGCTATTGTCTAATGCGATCCCATAGTTGATTCGAAAACCACATTTTGTTCTTCCTTTTAAATCACATCCCAAAATTTTTAGTGCTACATGAGTTTCAGATTTTGAAGATCAATTTATTTTCCTTTTATAATGCAATCTAAAACCCCAAGCATAGCGCCAGGATTCATCCTTTTCCCAACCCTAAAGCCCCCACACAAAACCCTATTCTTCCACCAAATCTTCGTCTTAATCCTCACTTTCTTAGCCTACGCCTCTTTCCACGCTTCCCGTAAACCCCCCAGCATTGTAAAAAGCGTCCTAGGACCCACAATTCAATCTAATTCAAGCTCGAGCGACACTGGATGGGCTCCGTTTAACGGGCCGGCAGGACCCCACCGGCTCGGTGAGCTTGATCTTGCATTTTTATCATCATATGCCGTAGGGATGTATTTTGCAGGACATGTAGGTGATAGGATTGATTTAAGGCTTTTTCTTGTGTTTGGAATGATGGGTAGTGGCCTTTTTACGATAATTTTCGGGTTTGCCTATTGGTTTGATGTTCATTGGTTGGGTTATTTTATGGGAGTTCAAGCAGTATCTGGGGTTTTTCAATCTATAGGTTGGCCTTGTGTGGTTGCTGTTGTGGGGAATTGGTTTGGGAAAGAGAAGAGAGGGTTGATTATGGGGGTTTGGACTTCACATACTTCTGTTGGGAATATTATTGGTTCTGTTGTGGCTTCTGGGGTTTTGGAGTTTGGTTGGGGTTGGTCTTTTCTGGTGCCTGGAGTTTTGGTTATTGTAGTTGGGGTTTTGGTTTTTTGTTTTTTAGTTGTAAGTCCTGATGATTTGGGGCTCGAAATGATGGCTCATGGGAAGGAGATTGAGATGAATGTGGAGGGAGAAGGTGTAGGGAATTTAGAAAAAATGGAGTCAGAGGAAGTCGGGCTGCTTGAGAACAAGGATTCTGATTCTTTGGCTGCCATTGGATTCTTGGAGGCATGGAGGTTGCCAGGTGTGGCACCATTTGCTTTCTGCCTGTTCTTCTCGAAGTTGGTGGCTTATACATTTCTGTATTGGTTGCCCTTCTACATAAGGCACACAGGTACTTTTTATCACTTGATGTGATTATTATTACAAGATTAAATTTGAGTTGTTTTAGGATATCCAAAGGAAAAGTGCCATAGAAATGCATTCTCAATGAATAAGACCATCTGAAAGGGGGAAGAAATTTACAATTTCTGTGTCAATTTAAAGTTAAGAATTTCATATACCAGTAAAACCTGTCGTGTAATTCTAGAGATAGCCTGAAATGCATTTATTAGCCCTACGGTGTTTATTAATTATTGCAAATTGTTGTTGGAATTGTAGCTGTTGCGGGAGTGCATTTGTCCCATAAAACTGCTGGGATCCTCTCTACAATATTCGATATTGGAGGAGTCTTTGGCGGGGTGATGGCAGGTTTAATTTCAGATATCATTGATGCTCGTGCAGTTACTTCGGTTACTTTCTTATTACTATCAATTCCAGCACTCATCTTGTACCGGGTTTATGGAAGTGTCTCTATGGTTACCAATATCACATTGATGTTTCTCTCTGGGTTGCTAGTGAATGGCCCTTATTCACTAATTACAACAGCAGTTGCTGCTGATCTTGGTACCCAGGACTTGATTAAAGGAAACTCTCGTGCACTAGCTACAGTGACCGCAATCATCGATGGTACTGGCTCTGTTGGGGCAGCTCTTGGGCCCCTTTTGGCTGGATATATATCCACTAGGGGTTGGAATAGTGTATTCGTGATGCTTATTGTTGCTATATTATTTGCTAGTTTGTTCTTGATTCGTGTCGCAAAATCTGAGATTGAAAGGATGGTAAATGAGGGGAAACGGCTTTGGAGTAGTGTTACTGCAAGTTGATGTAGTTTCTCAAGGTATCAACTGGAAGAATATATGATTAGGATACAGCATATGATGTAAAATTTTTCTTTTCATTATACCTATATCTTGTATAGTATCTCATTCTTTCATACACAAAATCTTCAATTGACTTGCAGATGTACAAGAAATTTTTTTATCAGAATGAACTTCATTCCTCTTTTCACCTCTACTAGATCAAACTTTATACTCTTGAAAAAAATTTTAAGCTATGTTCTTAAACCTTGGCTCTCTGTTCATAAATAACTGGTTTCCCAAGCCAGGTGAGCTTTTGGTATCTCCTGTCTTGGTAAAGAAGATAAACAATGGAAACTTTCGTCTCTTGGTTTTGTACTAAAAAAACTCTGCTAAAGTGATTGTTTGGAAGAAGAAAGATAGTGTTTTTTTGCCTGTCTGCTAGGAGATGATTGCCTAGATAGATATGCAACCGGATCAGAAACTGATCCCACCTGTCTGAAGATCATGAAACTTGGGAAGGATTTCTTATTGCAGTCTTGTGATCTGTTGCTTTGTGTGTTCATGCAAACATGTGCAAACAACTTGTCATTTCCATGCTGGCATTCAATGCTAGAGTTATCAGTAGGATATACAAAAAAGTGGTTATTTAACTGTCAAAAGTTCATGTTACCTGCAATAAATATATATTTAAAAAAATAGTACAATAACAGAGTTATTTCTGTAAAATATGAATCATAATTCCATAATTTGATTCTTTCAAATTTTCTTTTCTTCTATTGGTGAATAATAGCTAGCTTTGGGCTTCCCCTAAGAAAAAGAGAAAAAGAAGGGACTTTAAGTGCAGAAGCCTGTTTTCCCACTCGTATACCAGCCAAAGTTAGGTCTATGTCTCGATTGGAGATAAGAGAAGATAAGGAAAAAAGGTACCATTGAATTGATGCTATAGAAGAAGGGACTCTAAGACAGGAAGATCCTACCTGAACAGACAAGTATAATCGTCAACCAGATCTCTCCTTTCTGTACCACATAAATGATAAACAAATATATAGAGTTCTATCCTTCTAAGAGGCGTTTGAGACTCTGAAGCACCTCTGCTGAAATACTTCTCCTGACTCTCGCCCGTTGAATGACAGAAGGGGGAGGTGGCTCCAAGTGAAAACTAACCAAAACAACTGTCAAATTGTCTGTTGCTTCTCTTTTTATTGCTTCTTCAACTATTTCTTTGCAGCACAACTTCACATCATTGTGCTCCTGGAGCCGCCTTCTTGCAAAATCTATGGCATTTTGGCTGGTAAATACATCCCATATTCCATCACTACCGATGATCAAAAACTCATCTAAGTTGGTCAACGTTATCATTTTGAGTTCTGGTTCAGCACTTAGGGGGCCAATTCTCTCGCCCATTTCCTTCATACCTTCAAGGTGCCAATCACCTAATGCCCGGGTGACACCCAGTTGACCATTCAGATAACCATCATCAATGGATCCACCCAGAGACTCAATTCGTCTTTTCTCTTTCATGCAACAGGGCCTATGATCCTTTGACATCTCTATGGCTGTTCCACACTGTGATAGTACTGCCCTACAATCACCAGCATTTGCCACAAGTAAAGACCTGCCAAAGAAAAGATCATAACTTTCAGGCAAGGCAAAAACCATAAATATTGATTCAAACATATATTCAAAACAAATTACAAAGAACAGTAAGGCCAACCAGAAAAGCTTTGGAAGTTGCTTACCTCCCAAATATCATCGCAGTGAGAGCAGTGGTGCCAGAAGCTAGGGCGGACTTAAGGGAGCATGACTTTGCAAATGCAGCATCAGTCTTCATGAATGACCTGGTGACCACTTTCTCAAGTTCTAAGGGAAAATCAGCATCCTCAACAATAACTCTAGGCAAATAATCACGGACAAAATGAGAAGCATGCTCTCCTCCGTGCCCATCAAAAACCTGTTTTTTTAATGTCAAAACAGAGAATGTTTTTATATGCTTGTGAGCTTTTGTTTCTCTTATATGTTATTTAATGTGATTCCAGAGCATTGGTTTTGGACGACAAAACAAGTTTCTAATCTAACAGAAAGCTATTCTTGGTTAAAGATAACGTTTCAATAGAAAATAAGTGGACAAGCCGTCGAGCATTAAATGCCCCTTGTATCTTCTTTTAAACAACTTGGCATCAAATCCATCTTCTATCACTTACTCCAAAAGAAGACAATACCACTGGCATCTGATGACTCCAAAGGCTGGAAGGGTGAAACTAATTGCTGACTCAATTGTTAGGTTTATATGCTAAGAAAAGTTTTATGCTCATCTTATGGAAGGGCTGCTCAATATTCTAAAATAAACCAAAAGTACATAAGAATAAAATAATGTTAAGAGGCAGAGATATGGTTTATGAACTTACACCATAGAAGGAAACAGCTTGTTCACTCATCAAATTACAACCAAAAGTCTTAGCCAAGTCGGCAATGCATATATGAGTATCCTCCATATAGGAACGACCGCCAATGTCAGACCACTCTCCTGAACGAAGAGTAGGGGTAAAATTTGTCAACAGGCCATGTTTTCTGTCTGTGGCAACTGCATCCTCAGAAATACTTTCCAGCTAAATGAAACACAAATAAGAATGAGACTATCAGAAAAATACCGTAAAAGAAACCTGCAGAAGCATTTTCAAGGAAGGGAGAATAATAAATGAACTAAATAGCAAGAAAACCAACTCAATAATTGTACTATATCTTATTTAAGCTTCCCAATGTTTTTTAAATTTTATATCAAAAGTCAGATTAATTGCAGGCATACAACAGAAGCAGAAGAAACTATAAAAAATAATATAACCCAATTAAAAATAAATAAATAAATCAATGAATAAGAATAAAATATCAGTATCCACCAATATACGTATAATCAGATAAAGGGGGAGCCCAGTTTTGCCGGTGATCACCCTCCAAGTGTAACAAGAAACAGCATGAATATAGAGGAATTTAAAATTAAAAAAACCAACAAAAAATGCGAAAAATAAAAATAAAAATTATATTTATATATATATTTATATTTGTTCTCTCCTGCGAACAAAACAGTTTCTTGAATACCTGACACATGAATCTGACACAACTGAAAATAAATAGCCGCTGGAACCGGGATAATCCATCAAACATGCAATTATGAGTAGTGATCAAAGTGCATATACAGGGAAGTAGGTATCAAAATTGGCTATTTTCCATAAAGCTTAATGCTGTCCCAGAACACATTTACAGCAACAAATTTCTCAACTTGAAGCAAAATTTAACCAAAAAGACAAGTACCGAAAACAGAAGTATAAGAAACTGTACCATCAAAAGCAATTTTCATTTCGAAAAAAACAAAAAATTGTTACAGGAAATGAAGTTAGGATACTAACTCTATTGCTGCCACTGACCACAGCCAGGGTAGAGTCTTTATCATCCCAATTCTCCATCTGGGTACACAAGAAATCACCCCCAGAAAGCAAAGGCCAAGGCCTTTTGTCGTTGCTATCGTCAAGGTCCTCCATTTCTTGGCTGACCTGCTCTGCATCTTTAACACACATGTTGGTGATACTGTTGACAAGAAAAGAAGGGATAGGTGGCTTTTCTTTTTTCAGCTTGCTTCACAGCAATTTGTTAAGCATACCCAGAGTAACAGGAGCAAAAAGAACAAGAAGAACAAAGAGAGCAGAGAAAAAGAATCAAAAGGAAAATAATGGACTGGAGAGAAGATTCTTGAGAATAAATTGCATTAGTTGAAACTCAGTAAGGAAAAAAAATGGAGGGTCCCATCCCTTCACTTGCTTCCTATTTGTTCTTATATTTATTATATTACGTCAATGAAATTAACAAATCCAGATTTTTCTTACGAAAGCGTGGCTGAAAATCAGTTCTGATTGGAATGGTTGGGTTTTTCTTAATGCTTTTATCATCTCTTTCTATAACCCTTTTCCTTTTCAAATGTTGGTGGCATTATGACTCACGAAATGTTTCTCTCCCTATTTTTTTTTCTCATGTAATTTCTCCAACTTTTTACCATACTTATTTTTACTTGATAAATTACTATTAAATTTTTTAATTATGTTAAATTTAATAATTAAAAATATCTATTTTAGCATAAATTTCATAAAAACAAATAATACCTATTTTCTAATGTAACATGTGATGTGTACATTTTTAAATGTCAAATATCAATAATATTTTTTATTTTATTTTATTTAAAATTAATTTTAAATATATTAACAAATTATTCAACTGTGATCCAAAAATCATCAAATTTCAATATTTACCTATCATACATTGACAAATTTGTCCTTTAACATTATATTTTATATATTTTTTTCTTGTCTGAAAATTTAACACAAGATGGCGTCCAAAGAAGATCATAGGGCTAATGGGATGGCAAAAATATTAGGGACAAATCTAATTTGTTTTTCTATAAATTAATGATTGACATAAACTAGTGAATATGTTAAATCATGGGGATTGTTGTTATTTTAGGGGTAATAATTGAGGGAGAAAGATTTGAAAGTGAAGTTATTCCAAGTGTGAACTACAAGACAAGCAATAGGGGGAAGATGATGCAAAGAAAATGACTAATAGATTGCCCTTTTGCTTTCCATAAAGGTCGTGATACAACCAAAAAAAAAAAAATCTCTTTTGAAAAATAAAATATCTTTCTTGTATATATTTATGTTCAAAGATTCAACATTTGGGTTGGAGATTGTTGCCTTTTGCACTTGTGGTCATAATCCAAAAGTTGGGTTCTTTTCTTCCATCATTATGCTTGTCTTTTTGCAATGTGAATGTGAAGAATCTTTACTACCAATGATTAAAAACTGAAATTTTATTTTTTGTGTATGGAAGATGGGAAAACCATTTTTAGGAGATAAAATAAAATAAAGAGCCCAATGATAAAAGATGGTGTTTAAATTTTTTTTATTTTTTTATTTGAGTAAATTGAATTAATTTGAAAAATAAATTTAAAATTTAATTCAATTAATTCAAATATTTATTTTTAAGAATCAATATCTAATAAATTTGAAATTCAAATCTCAACATATTTAATTTATTCCCTAATTTTCAGATTATGATCTCTTATAAAAAAAATAATAAAAATTTTAAAAATAATGCCTTATAATTTGACTATAAATTATGCAGACAGTCCTATATTGCATATGGTTGAAAATGGTAAGGAATCTGATATGTTGCTTTGATACATCATTTAGGGTTGTATTGCGAATTTTCCTTTGAAATACTCCTAATTGTTAGAATATGGGGTTAACATAAGAATAAAATTATCTAATTTGGTTAAAAAAAAAAAAAAAACTTACAAGATTTTTCTGATATTTGCTCCACGTACGAACAAACTTTATTTTGAAGTAAGATATTTTTCTATCTCTTACAAAAATCAAATCAGTTCTATTTATAACAAAATAAAAATTTGTTTATACAGACATATCTGTCTACAAAAATATCTATTTGTACAAACACGACTCTTTATAAAACATAATTCTTAGTAAATAATTATTTTTTAAAAGAAATGTATCATACTAAATAAGAAAAATTTCAAGCCTATTCAAGAAGGATATAAGAGGGGATATCTTCAAAATTCCAGATGTGTAATTTGACAGAATCCAAACATAGAAAGTAAAAAGAAAGAAAAACTAGAAAAAAAATCTAGCAGTCAAATGTTCTTCAAATCTAGAGGCAGTTCAAGAGATTCTTATGTCTTCTCCATAGGCTCCTACACCCCCCGGACAACACACAGAAGACGCTCGCAACTTACATTCCAGTGAAAGCTTTCTTCCCACCACCAGAAGATCCAGCAGGAATCACTTTCAAAACATTGAACCTCACAGTCTTTGACAATGGTCTGAAATTAGAAAATGATACACACAAATTTCAAACAACCAAAATTACCTACACCTATTAGATTCAGAGACAAACAATGAGAATAAAATCCTTCCGTTTAAAAGTTTAACCTGCATTGCCCGATAATGACATGATCCCCTTCCTTCACACGGAAGCATGGAGAAATATGTGCAGGAATGTTTGAGTGCCTCTTCTCATACCTGGAAAAAAGAAAATTTTCTTCACAAAAACTTTAAAACTACAATTCCTTAAGAAAAAAACAACAAAAAGGAGCTGGATCATGCCTTTGGTATTTCTTGATATAATGAAGGTAATTCCGTCGAACAATGATTGTCCTCATCATCTTGGCGCTATGGCAAGTACCAGCTAAGATGCGACCCCTGATAGAAACCGTGCCAGTGAATGGGCATTTCTTGTCGATGTAGGTTCCTTTAGGAAACAAATGTGCAAAACATTATCAAATAATAACCATCATAATCTGGATATCAACTGAACTCTAAAAGCATAGAAACATATTCTGTACATACTTCCAAACATCAGACTCTTGGTGTTAATCAAGTCAAGTAAATCATCTTTTTTGTTTCTTATCAAGTACAATGAAACACATTTTTTATATTAGAATTATAAAGGATCCATTTTCTGAAATTTCAAAGGAACGACAATATACAAATGAAGCAATTATTAATTAGCATGATACTCGCATTCCAGCAACCTTAAAGAAATCTTTACTCAGCTAAAGCTAGTAAATGCAAGGAACAATCAAAACTTTACGGAAACTGACCATCCATAGTTCCACAACACCTGAAAAACATACATCCATAGACATAACAAAAAGGAAAACAAACCTTCAATAGCTTCACGAGGAGTCTTGAAGCCCAAACCAATGCTCTTCCAGAAGCGGTTCCCTCCCTTTCCTGGTCTCTTCCCCTTCCCAGATTTCTTGGAGCTGAAAACGATACAAAATCAATAAAACCCACCTAAACTCAAAAACCCAAATCGTAAAAAGTACAAAGTTGAAAAATTTTTCAAGGTTTTAAGCATTTAGATTACCTTAAAAACACTTTGGGTTGCTTCAGAAATGCCTTCTCTGTCTGAAAACAAACAAAGAAAAACAGAAAATGAGAAGCAAAAGAGACAGAGAGAGAGAGAGAGGATCTGAGTATGAACCTGTTCGGCCATGGTTGATGAGCTCTATCGAGAGTGTGGCACGGCGGCTGCGGGGACAAGGGAAGTGAAAGATGAGAGAGTTCCACTATGACAGACCCTAACCCTAACCCTAACTAATAGCTCGGCTTCCATTAGGAATGAGTTTGGGTCAGCTTATAAATTTGGGCCTTCAAACCTTTCGTTTTGTGAATAACCGAAAGGGCCACTATCAGCAACCCCAAATTCCTGTCAAGAAATTTGTGGACATAAATTCAAAAATTAATTATTATTATTGGCTTTTATTCGTGTCCACCACTTTCAAACTATATACTCCATTACTCACATGTATTGCCCAAAAGTGGGTTTTAACTTTTTAAGTATTGCACAGTCCACCACAAATGGGAAAAAAAATCCAATGAAAATTACAAAAGATGAGCTCTATAAAAAGGATACAAGCATTTTCAACTAAAATTATTAATTGTTACTGCCTAATACCAACCAACCAAATTCCTCTAAACATAGGAAAAAAAAGGGTTTTTTTTGGTTGTTTAATTAGCTATTATTGAAATAAGTTAAAGCAGAAAAAAGAAAGAAATCAGATGAAATTATTAGGACATGATTTAAATTTTGATTTGATCCCATAAACGAAAACAAAAATAAAAATAAAAAGAGAGCTCATAATAATTCCGATGAGTGCAAATTCACAGTATAAAACAAACTCCAAACCAACCAACCAAACCTTCTGATCAGAGCGTCCTTTCTCTTACCCCAATCTTACGTAAGCCCACATTAATAATTCATTTCCAAAAAAAAAAAAAGCTTTGAATTGGGTCTCTCCTTCTTCAATTATCAACATCATTAACACTTTTGAAAAAAGAAAAACCCACCAATCACCACAAAACTCTTATATTCTCTCAAAAGCTTTTGAAGAAGAAGGGATAGAAAAGAAGGTGTTGAAATGGGATCGAGTAGCAGTCGACCGGGGACGAACCCATCATGGGGGAGATTCAATCGCCGGCCTAAACTGTGTTCCGGACTCTCTTCTCTCTTTCTCTGCGGTAGCTCTTCTTCTCATGCTTCTTTTGAGGTAATTGACTATAAAAAATTTGGTCTTTTTCTTTTTATTGGATCGTTCGAGATTGGTTGTTAGGTTGCTGAATTATATACAAAGATTATTACTTTTTTTGATAAAAAAAGTCAATGCCCCTTTGCTTATTTTTTCTTAATTTTAATTTTTAATAAATTTTTGGCGATCTGGGTTTTGCATAAGTCATAACAAAATCACTTCTTTCTGGTAAATTTAGGATTTTTTATAAAAAAAAAATTCTTGCTTTTTTGCTTTAATACATGCTTGAAGTAACATGGTATATGATTTGTTTGTTTTCCTCTCAAGTCCTATGGCTCAAGTCAAGTCAGGATAGAGATAAGCTATTAAGCTCTTTGCTTAGATATTATTTGTAGATTATTGATTTTTATGTTGGTCAATTAATCATGTTTGGGTTTCCTCTACTGACTTTATTTCCTTAATCCTTTTTAGCATTTTTTTGTCTGAAATTTCTTGTGTTCTGTAATGGTCGGTTCTTTTTAAATAGCGCCTTACTTGATGTTGTAGCGATCCCTCTGAAAGACAAGAAATTGTCTTGCTATCTATCTATCTATCTATAAGTTAAATGATGCAGTTTGAGAGGGCCTGCCTTTTTTTTTTTTTTTGGTATTTTGGACCTGTTTGAGAGGGCCTGTCTTTTTTTTTTTTTTTTTGATATTTTGGACCTGTTTTACTGCCCCAGCAGTAGGTTCAACAATGTATTCAACATAGCTTTATCAGGGGGAATGCTATTAAGGAAAAATGAAGAATCTTCCTTGCGGGATTTGGTTCTAATGCTGTGTCGGAAATTGATTTCAGCTAAAGAATATTTACTAGTTCTTGCAGCCCCCCTATCTCAAAAAGTAAGCTAGTCCCATTATGCTGTCACACGAAATCTACACATTCCACTGTCCCCTTTGCTTTAGGCCAAAAATAACAAATTGTTCCCTTTGCGTGCAAATTTTTTAAGTCAGTCTAATATACTTACTAGTTAATGGTGGAGTGTGTTTAAATTTCTGAAGTATCTTTTTCTTTGAATTTCTCTCTGTCGAAACAGAAGTTTCCCTTTCACTTATCTTTGTCTGAATTTTATTTGGAGGGAAGAATTGAAAAAGAAGTGCAATGTTCTTTTGCAGTATATTATATTAGTGGGTAGGTTTGTAAATTAAAACCGCTTATTGCTTAAATCAGCAACACCTCAATTATTACTTGGTTAGATTGTTTTTCATCAATTTTTGTACTTTTTCTTTTAACAATAAAAGCTTTGTACTTGGATAAATTCCATGAAGTAGCTTAACTCTTTTAGCTTTCCTCTCGGTTCCAAGATGTGGACAGAAGGCAGCACAGAATCTTCTTTCTGGCGGTGGGTTGAGCATCTCATAATTGTTGCTCTAAACCTGGGGCCACCAAAATAACTCTATGAAGTCTTCATTGAGGATGTAAGAGTCAAGTGAATTCTGTTAGCTCCAGCTAATGTCATGTGGATTGCATGTTCATGAACAAGTTTATGTCTTGGAAGTTATCTTCTTCTTTTTTTTCTTTTATTTATATTGCAACTTAAGCATTTCACAGGGAAGCTCTAGAATATGCTGCAGGAATGATACAATACATTATTTTGGTGTAGATGGAAGATTATCAAGATGAAATTCTGGTGAAGTCTGCAGAACACTGTGAACCAGTTACCAACATGGTCCAAACCCCCCAGGAGGAATCTACTTCCGTCTGCAGTATGGAAACAAGGTTCAGCACCACAGGTACTGAAACTGGAATTTCAGCTGAAAGCAGAACTGCAGCCAGTGGGGATCCATCTACCGAAAGTGGTTCAAGAGATGTAGAAACAAGTAATTGTACGAGATGCTTAACTGAAAGTTTGGAGTTAGTTGCTCCTCAGGTAAGCGCTGATTATAGTCATGGTGAATCTCATAAGGATGGTAGTACTTCAGCTAGCACTTCCTTTAAAGAACAACAATCTTCAGACACTGTCTCAGTAAATCTTTCGAATAATGAGAATGCAGTCGGTGGCTTTGAGAATGCAAACAAGGATGCATCTCAGATCTGTCCTGAGCCAAGTATTTTGTCTCCTCAAGGGCTTGAAGATTCACATTTGCATGGGATACCTGTTGAGAATCAATTGGGTGAACTAACAACGGTCCAAAACTCTAGTTCTGATTCTGCTTCTCATGCCTCTGAACCAGTGACTTTTCAATCACTAGGAGCTGAATCCATTCGAGAGGCAATGCCTTCGGGTTTAGGATTTCTCGTATCCAATAGGGAACAGGGCTGGGGAGATGGAAGTGTGCTTCATGTTGACGTTGTGAGTATCTCTTCCAATATTTTATCTGGTGGCAGTGCTGGTACAAGTAATCGTGAAGCCAGGAGGAATAGTAGAAGATTGTTTCGGGATGCATTTTCAAGACGCAGTTCTAGAAGATTTAACGATTCCCCGTCCATTTTTCTCTCAACAGATGATAGTGATGATATAGGATTTCATGATAGATGGCTCCTTGATTTCAGTGATGATTTCTTGTATGATGGGGCTGGAGGTGATTCTGGTTACCTCAGCAGTAGAATTCACAGCTTGAATGAACGAAGACGACACTCAAGATCAGAGGTATTAAATGGCAAAGCACTTAGAATTTAGAAGTTTATGCAGCTTGCTTTTAGTAGATAGAGATATATCAAAACTCACTTTCCGTAACTAGATTTATTTTGGCTGCATTATTCCTGGATGTTGGGGTTTATGGTCTATTGTATCTTTGACCAATGTCCCATTTTTGTTAGAGCATCTTTTATATCTGGTTATGCATGCATGAAGAATTTAATTGATCTAATCATGTGACAACATTTATCAAGTTCTCTTTTCCTTTTGGGCATTTAAGGTGATGCATATATATTTTTGTGTGTGTGTGTGTGTTTGTGTTCAATTTGTCTTTCTGTTACCTTATGTAACTTCTATGAACTTATCCCATTTGTCTCTTTTCAGATCTGGGAAAGGCTGCGTGGTGGTCATGATGAAAATAGTCGGCAAACTACATTTTGTCCATCTGGACTCCACCCTGATGGCACTTGCTCATGTGATTCTCTCTTGATGACTGATGAGTCTAGTGCTCGTGCAAGCATATCAAGAATAGTTATGCTTGCTGAGGCTCTATTTGAGGTAGGTTACCTTCATCAACTTCCATCACAAATACTTATGTCATTTTGTGTTTTACTGTCCCTTGTTCCATGAGAAGTTGATTTGTATTGCATACTTTACCAAATTGTAAAGTTACATATTAATTATGTTGTCGATATGGAAAAATGAATCTGTGTAAGGACTTTAATGATGTTATAGTTGGATTGGATTATATGTGTTAAAAATGCCTTTTCTTCCCCATTTCTTGCATTCCTTTGCATTTGAGATGTTTATCTTTTTCTTATTGAGAAAGATTTTATGTACAATTTCTAGTATAACGGGGGGAGTGTGTGTATGTGAGACATGAGATTTTGCAATCTGCTGGTAAAATGGAGCGTGCTAATGATTAAACATTTCTGCTCATGGTGCATTAGATATTGATAAACACCTATGGAGCTCCACAAGTTTACCTCATTTCTTCATTCTTTCAAAATGAAAATTTTGTAGGTTTTGGATGAAATTCATCGTCAACCAGTGTCACTTTCCCTATCTATGGTGTCACTTCCAGCCCCCGAATCTGTAGTTGATTCTTTCCCTCTCAAAAGTCACAAGAAAGTGGATGCAGCTGAGGGTGGGGATGCAGTTGAACAGTAAGTTCTTTCTTAATACTTGTGTAGATTGAAGATTTCGTAACAATTTGCTCCCAAAAAAGTAAAGGGGAAGGATTGATTATATTTAGTTTCCTCTTTCCTTAGTAATTTGTGTTTCTTTACTTTTTTACTATTGAATATGCTATTAATGTTATAGGTGTTATATATGCCTGGCTGAATATGAGGAAGGGGACAAAATAAGAGTTCTGCCTTGCCAGCATGAGTTTCACATGTCTTGCGTGGATAAATGGCTTAAAGAGATACACGGGTATCATTACTTCTTCCCAATGCTTCCCCTTCACACTGCCTTCTTTTTCTCTTTTTGGGAACTGAACTTTTCTCTATGGTTTACAGGGTGTGCCCACTTTGCCGAGGTGATGTTCGTCAGGGTGTGGAGTCCTCTATCTCAAGCTCTGAGATTCCCCCTCTTTGATAAAACTGTACATATGTAAAGACTGCTAAATAGTTGTATTTCCCCCTCTTACACAAATGTTAAATGTTGTATTTCCTGTATAACATGTAGCATCTTTTCCTCATGATGAGGCTACGTTTAATTATTTTTACATACAGCAAAATGAGGAAATGGGATCTTTTTGGCCATGCTTTTTACTCTGATGGCTACAGCTCTAGTGTAATTAACATGGGAGGATTATTAGATCGATGCTACTTATTATCGTACAGATGTCGTTTCAATCAAACCAGGAATGCATGAAGGTTTGCATTAGATGTGTCTACAGATATTGATGAGTTGAAACTTCAGAGAGTGATTGTTTACCAATAACCATAGATGCATCAACCTTTGCATTGTACTGAAGGTCGAGTTGCAATGTGAGTTCAGCATCCACAGCAAATAGCTGGATGTTTTAATGACTTCTGATTACTGTTTCGAACTGACTCCTAGTTTCCCTTTGGTGGTCTTAATCAATGTATTTGTTTTTATGGTAGAAATTTCCTCGTCAAATTGCAGATTGATCTTAAAGGATTGCAATGTTGCAAATGCTTTGTCAAGAAAGCCTCGGGGACAAAATCTAACCAAAGCTGATATAGGCTTTTACCTCCTTTAATCGAAGAACCAAAATACTAAGAAGAACAGAGTTCTTCTTTCATAGTTCATGCATTGCTACATTTTAAACACATAACAGCCAAGACAATACTACTTCAGAAGTACTTGCAAATGTCTAATAGCAAGACAAGATACAAATAAAAGGTACAACAACACTTGCTTTTTCAGCTAACCCAGCAAAGAAGAGCCATGCCTTGGGTTCCAAAAGGGATTCTGGTCTTGAAAGAAAGATGATTCAGGTCTCAGTTTGTTGTCAGGGTAATCATAGGAGAAAGGATTATTTCTCAAGTCCTTACCACTAGTATGGTTATTATCAAAGAGATTTGGATGACAGTTCTCATCATCTTCAAAAGTTGTCCATCGCTTTGAGTTAATTTTATGCTTCTCTCTGGTTGCATTTCTCATGTTCTCCATCTCTCCTACATGGTCCTTGAATTCTTTCTTCACCACATCCAACACAACATCTCCATAGCGATCACACCATGACCTTAAAAATTGGCAAAGAGAAGACAGTTAGAATCTACCATATCTTTCAAATAAAAAAGCAATGTAAATAAAAGATTCATGGCCTACTGAAGTGATCCGATTTGTTTCCTATCGGAGAAAGTATTAATGAATCTAGTATCTTTAAAGGCAACATCTTATAATTGTATGTGCAATATCATTCTCCACTGCCTATAAACACAAAGGGAATAATTCTCGCTGCCAACCGTCCTTATTGCTGAGCGATCTGTAAATCTAATGTAAGTTCTTGGTGAGGCCTGCGACATGCCCTGACCTCCCTTCACTTAAACATTTCTTGTACCAAAAAAAAGTAAATAACATATATGTAAACATCCTTACTTGGGAAAGAACTTTTTGAGGTCAGCCTTGTCCACCGGAAGTGTTGTGGAAATAGCTTCAATTTGGTCGTTCCTAGTGGAATTGCAACAGACACAAACTTAGGCAAATGTGCTAAATATGAGCTCTTATGAAGCATACATTTATCTCACCTTCTCAAAATATCACTCCAAATGAAAATTGATGGAAAGAATAAGCTTACGAAAATTTAAGATTCGGATTGGTAGTGGAAAGCTCTGCTTGAATTCGTGATAGCTCCTTCTTTATTTTGTCTCCTAAAACCTGCAAGTGTAAATCAGGTAGGACATTAGATACGAGCTCCAGGTTTTTAACAATATAAGCCATTGAGATGGACCTTATCAATGAAGAAATCCGATGGAGCTCCATTTGCATGCAATTTCATCTTAATCTGTTTGGTGTCTGGCCCCTCTCCGATGGGAGTTGCAACAAGCTGGCATGACCCCAGGAATGCTTCACTATCTGATCTTTCATTGAGAGGCAAAGGAGCTGTCTCATCCTCCGAATCATTTCTCTTCCATTTCTTGAAACCATCAAAACCCCATTGCTTTTTTGCTGATTTTGATGCTTTCTCCTCTGAACCAGGGCCATAATCACCACCTCCACCACCATGTCCCTCTCTCTGCTCTCTATGAAACAGAGTTCTAAGTGGTTTTCTTTTTGCCTTATCAGTACCGCTACCATTTTCCTTCATGGATTCCGTTGGCAAGGTTTCTTCTTGCATTAGAATTGATTTTGTTTCACTTTCCTTACGCTTCAAATGACTATCCCAAAAAGGGTTTTCTTGGGAACCCATAATAAAGGCTGATGATTTTGAATCTACATCGAATATGCTCTTTTCTGATCTGTTTTTACTTGGCTTCTGAGATGATCCAAAGCCAAAAACTGAGGCTGCTCCTTTGATCTGCTTCATTGTGGAGTTGTTCTTTGGTTTATTCTTGGAATGCAACATATTGTCTCTATTAGTGATGCAGTTTTCATCCTTCAAGTCAATGACAGACCATTCTTCTTCTTGATTCTCTTTCGAGTCTTTCGGGTTCGCAACGATTACATCTCTGGCCTCAATGTCAGCTCCTTGTACTGCTAACCGCTGCAACAAAGGCCTCTTTGAAGAATGGTACTCCTCCTCTGATATGCATTTTGCATAAAGCAGTTCCTACAACAGGTGGAAACCAAATTAGAATCTACCAACAAAAAGAAAAAAGATAAATAAAGTGGCTGTTAAATATTTACCTGCAAGAAGACCAATTTATCTCTCAGAATGATAGGCTGCTCAAGTTCAGGTGGAGAAGCAATAAGAGTCTCAAGCAAATGAGTTCTAAAAGCTGCAACCTCAGCTTCACCCAAAATCCCTTCTTTATGCAGACCCATCAAGTTCAATATCTGGTGAAAGGAATCCTGCTGCCATTTCAGATTATCAGATTGCAGCTTGGAAAGCCTGTGTTCAGCAGCCGGCAATCGCCTTTTCTTGAATGAAAAAGGGAGGATTGTTTTGCAAAGAGAGGTGATGGAGTCATGGAGAGTGGAGTAGTATGTGGGTGTATAACTGTACACCATTTTTGACATTTTGGCTTGTTGATGAGAGCTTGAAAATGGGTTGATGCAAGAACTTAGAGTGATGATTTTAGTTCCCAGAGCTTTGATTTTTGAAGGAGAATAAGGTGTGGGGTTGCTGTTGTTGTTGTTATGTTGTATAGTTTTCAGATTTTTTAATCTTGGGGTTAGCTCAAAACGGTCACTTGAAACTAGCCGTTGAGAGTTGAATTATTAGTTGATGAAACGCTGTCGTTTTCGTCCATGGTTAATTTTTTGAAATAGTGATCCATAAATGATTAAATGTAATATTGCAGTGAAATTCTCAGAAAATTACAAACCAATAAAAACTCTCACTTTCATTGTTGTCGGAGCATTTGAATTTTCTTTTTTTTTTTTTTGGTTTGGGGTGCTCCAAATTAGATTAAACAGAGAAGTGTAGTTTTTGATAAGGGTGAGAAAAAAAATCAAAAAATTTAAAAATTAATTTAAAATTATAGTTTTTAATTTGATTTGGATCAATTTTTTTTATTTGGTTTGGATCAAATTTGAATATGAAATATATATATTAAGTTCGGATCGAATTTTAGATTGAGAGGTAAAAAAATCTCTGAATCGAACTGAATTATATATATTTTTAGTTTTATATATATTTTAAATTTTTATAAAAATAAAAATATAATTTTATATCAAAATATATTAAAATATATTAAAATTTTTATTAAAATAATATATAAAAATTAAAAAAATTAAAAATCAATAAATTGAACTGAACTAAATCAATACAATGTAATTTAATTCGGTTTAGATCAAATGAAAATTCGATTTGAATTTAAATTAAATTTTAAAATTTCATAATATGATACGATATCCGAAAAAATCGTAGATATCCGATCCGAACTAAACAGTTATCACCCTTAATTTTTTAAGACTTGCAAATCTAATTCAAACCGAAAAAAGATTTAGATAAAATTTTTTAGGTACAATTTATAAAATTTTTAAGTAAAAATGATCAAATAAAAATTAAAATAAAAAATCAAAATTGATAAGTTAAAAAGTCTTGTTATATAGATCAAGTACACAAAATTTAAAAAGATTTGAAAAAAATTTATATAAATTTTTAGATAAATATTTTTAATAAAAATATTAATAAAATTTTTACCATTAAATAAATATCGATCAAATTTAAATTATAAATAATATTTTTAATAATTTTTTATATATTATTAATTTACATATTAAATTCTATCAATTTTTATTAAATTAATTTTTTTTAAAAAATTTCACAGATTTCACTTCATATAACTTTTTTCCTTCAAACCATGCTTATCACTAACCTGTCTTAAACTCTAAGAATCAATAACCATAAGCCTCATAAAAAATATTGACCAATTTAGGATTTAGATCCGAAATCTTCAATATAAAATCTCAAAGAAATGCCCGAATCACATTCATGTGAGACTACTTTTTTTTTTTTTTTGTGCTTTTTTTTCTTTACTATTTCCTCCCTCGCATTTTTCTGTGGTCTGTAATGGGGTGATCTTGTCTCCTTAAAACTTTTGACAAAAGGAAATTATCCTCGATAAGATGTAACATGACACTAGTAGCAGAAAATGACATTCCACTTTCCCAAAGTAATATTACATTGGCTTTTCAGCCATTAGCATATTTTTTCTTTCCCACACAGCATAAATCACCTACTCTCTAGTATGACAAACTAGATGCTACTTTCAAATAAAAACCCGAATCAACTTATTGCCATCACTAATTCTAATCTTTCATTTATCAATCTAAATTATAATTCAACGAATAAATAATTATTCGTTGTAATTTTTTTTTTTTTGGGTTGTAATTTTCACTGTAATTGTGTTTGATTAAGGTGACTTGAATTCTAAGGGAAAATGGACCATCAACATTGGTGATGAGGATTGATGTTTCCAAAAAAAAAAAAAAAATCAAATCTATGTGATCTATATGATGGAGAAAACAACTTTCTTTTTTTATGTCATTGTTGCCTTTTTAAAATCCCAATTAGAGCTTAACATATGTTTGATAAAATGTACCAAAAGAAATATAAGAAAAAAAATACCAAATATATACTAACTTTCCAGGAAAAAGTGACAATGGATACGATTGGAAAAGCCCCCCCCCCCCCCCCTTTTTTTTTTCACGCCATAAAAGCAAACTTTTAAATGATGCACCTTGTTGGGTAGGTTAAAAGAGAAGGAGTACACTTTTTCACAAACGTGTATCATGTAGCTAAAATCTATAAATCTATAATTATACTTAGAAGTAATATTTTAATATAAATTCAATCAATTCTTGCGAAAAGCATTTTAAAATTACAATTTTGAATATATTAAATCGATCTAAAAAAATATATTTTTAAAATTATTTGAAAAAAATTAAATTGAGATAAAATCCGAGAATACCACTGAACTTATCACGAAGATTTAAAGGATTGAAGAATGGTGTAGTGCAGTAGTGGAGTAATCTTAACCACCGACGACACTATGTTATGCATAAAACATTACTATAAAACGTTCTACAGCCTGATGTAGTTGTGTTGACTGTTGAGGCCCTGGTTGATTTAAAAGTTAATTTAATTGTAATTTATCTATAAATGTATCTGAAATAAATATTAAAATAAAAATTGGTTGATTATCATCAGTTATTAAACACATTTGAAATCAGCACCTGAGCAGTTATGTCAGAGCTTAGTTCATCAACTCCCTCCATTTTCAATATAAAAAACATTTAAAACGAATCTATAAGTAGAAACATGAGAACAATTACACAATGTTAATTAGAAATTTTAATTTCACATGTATGAAACAAACAATTTAACATGTCATGTGATGCATTTTTGGCATGCCAACCTTACAGTAATTCTTTTGTTATTCTTCAAGATAGGATTTCCGTTCTACAACAAGGGCAATGAGCATTATTCTCTAGCCATGGGACCAGGCACCTTGAATGAAACCGATGTGCGCATGGGGGATGAACCAGGCTCTCACCAGTCTTGAACCGTTCCAAGCAAATCGCACACTCATCTTGATCCGAGGCCTCCCAACTCAACTTGGACCAACTGAACCTCTTCTGACCAAACTTCTTTGATCCAAACACTTCTGTATGCAACTGCCCTTGAATCAAAGATCTCCCATCCATGCACTTCAAACTTTCTTTGCTGGTTTGCCTGATTTTCAATGCCCAAAACAGGGTAATAACTGCAAAAATAAAAAACTATTTAATGTAAATTAATAAATATTCTGCCATTTAATACCTTTTGGGTTCTGGTTTTCTTTGTGATCTCAGCCTCTCATCTAATCTTTCCTTGGCTTCTCTCGCTACCCCTCCCAGCTTCTCATCCTGATGAGCTTGAATTAATGTGCTCCTTTGCTTTAATTATTTTCTCCAAATAAAACCCAAGTTAGTCCCGATCATAATCTCCTCAATATGGACCCAAAAATTACTTTATAATCAGGAAAAGACGAAGTACCTGTGAAGAAACAGAGCAATGATGAGTTTCATGGCTGCTTTTATACAAACCAAAGGAGGACCTCCTTGTCAAGCCAGCAGCAGACACGCTTGGTGAATCAGATGGCCCTTCGCTTCGATGGAACCGTCTTCTTCTAGCATATTCAACACCAGGAAGCATACCAGCCATTGATAAAAGGTTAAAAAAAAAAAAAAAAAACTCTGAAGTCTTTTATTTGTTATATTCAGGCTTCAGGGTCTATATAAACAGATTTTGTCTTCCTGTTTAAAGCTTATCCTGAAACAAGGAGGAAATTGAAGGAGTGATTATAAAGAGGAGAGAAAGCGTAAAGAACCGAAAGAAGAAAGGATACCAAAAAAAGGGTTATGATTGAAAGGGATTGAATCAATAAAAACAAAGAGAAATAACAGTTGGTACCTGATCGAGATTAGTGGGGGACAAAAGCGGGTCCATGGCATTGATTATTGAAGGAACAATGTTTCACAATCATTTTCGACTTTAATCCATTGAAGATAGAAGAAGCTGTGACATGTTACTGTCATTCTGTGAAAGAGCCCTAAATTACATGACATTAATAAAAAATTTAAAGGACAAGAGAAAGTAAATGAAGGAAGGAAGCAAGGAAGCTTCATGGTAACTTGGCCATCTACCAGCCCTCCACCAGAAACACCGCTCTTACGTACAAAGGGTGAGCCACGTGACTAACCCAATTATTTATTTAGATTTATATAAAATATTCATTCAACTTAAATTAATTCAATTAATTTATATAATTATTTTTAAAAAATAATATTTAATTAATTTAGAAACGGAAAATCAACTATATCAATACAATTTTCCATTTTGTGTGATCAAATAAAACTGCATCAACACAATATCCATGTAATTAAAATAACTAGACAATATTAGATATGTGACTCAAATTTTTATTTCATGAAGATTAATTTATGTCACTTGTAAAGTTGAATTTAGCTTGATCAAACAAGAGTATATCAATACGAAGCCTTTATAATAAGAAATAAATTTTAGATTTTACACATTTCAAGGCTTTTACCATAATGTCAAAACAAATTAGTAAATATACAATTGAATATTTTGATGGAGACCTAGTAAACTAGAAAAATCAAATAAAAAATACATAAATTTCAAAAGTAAATGTTAAAGAATTTTTATAAGAATTTATTAAAGTGATATTTATATAAAAAATTTTATAATTAATAATCTATTCTTAAATTTGAAAAACTAATGCATTAACTAAAATATTATTTAAAAAAGAATTCATAAATACCTATTAATCAAATTCAATTTTAAATTAAATGCTACCCAAAATAGTTTAAGCTTTAATTCATCTTTTTTCTTGTTTTGGAAAGTACAAACAATAATAAATTGGTGAAAGACATATAATCCCACCATTGTTTCCTCAAACACTTTTGACGAAAAAGAAAAGAAAGAAACGCAGAGCATAAATTCAGGCTCAACGAATTTCTAAAATCACAAAAATCGCAAAATCCTGACCTCCATCGATTTTTATTTCTGAATTACCCAAAACACCCATTATTTCAAACAATAACCGTCCACTCGTTTCCGTACCAATCGTGTCCTTTCTTGTAATTTCATGTCGTTCTCACTCTATAATCCACTCCTTCCAATTTCTCCAATTTGTAAGAGGAAAAAAAGAAAAAAGTGAAACAATGAGTGGCGAAAACGAACCAAGCTCTCCAATTTCTCCATCAACTCTTAAACAAAAGCTGAAATCTTCTCTTCGTCTCCCATGGCTTCGCCACCATATCCACCATCATCATCACCATCAACGCATAGCGCTAAGTGCTTCAACCACTCCTGCTCCGACCCCTAGTCCAAGCCCTAGGGATGACAACCATAACAAGCCAAGGCTAAGCAGGACATCTTCTTCTACATGGCTTAAGTCGCCGGAGTTAAAAGACAAGTGTCGTAATTTGATTAACCGCATTGGACATGGACATGGTCCTGGCCACCGTCATAGCCACAATAATGGTCATGGTCATCACGGCCATGGCCATGGGAGACGACACTCGGCGGATTTTCGATATGATCCGTCGAGTTACGCGTTGAATTTTGATGAAGGGTGCGACGATAGCCAACTCGATGAGTTCCCTTTCAGAAACTTTACTGCTAGGTTGCCACCATCTCCTACTGCTACAACTTCTAGGGAAATCACGGCTTATACTTAAAAACAAAAGATTTGGGTGCTTTAATGGGTTTATTATGTCCTTTTTTTTTTTTTCGAATTTGCATGGAAAAATGATGGCTTAGTAAGGATATGGTGGTAGGGATTTTTATTGTTTAAAAAAACTGGAATTGTATATATATATATATATATATATTTCTTTGGTTGTTTTCTAGTTCATTAGTTTTGAGTTAATCTGATTTGAAATTCTGGGAATTATTAATAGTTAATGAATCCTTGTCTTAATGGTACGAGGAAGAGGGTTTGGGCTGTTTAAACTTTAAGTTTGAATTTTAATGTATGTGAATTTGATTTAATTATATATTTTTTTGTTAATTTAATTTAATTTATTCATTAATTTTTATATTAGATATATTTGATTTTTAATTTATATCAGTGTAAAAGTGAATTTAATTACTATGATTATATACTTAATTTTTTATATCATCATATTTGTTGAAAATTGTTTGATTTTGATTCTAATTTCTATTCATGATAGATCAATGATTGTGTTTGATGGAGCTGATTAATATATTGAAGAGATAGTGGTGAATTTTTGCCATTGTATAGTAAATCAATATTGAATTTTGTCATGGTTTATTCTTTCAGTTTCATTAAATTTTAACATTGTAATTTTAATTTTTGTTGATTTTTTGGACATGAAATATTGAAAATGATGAAAATTTATCATTTTCATTAACAAAATATCTTGTGAAATTAATATTATAATTACATTATCCTTTATTCTAAAATCGATTAAATTAAATATAAAATGGTAAAAATTGTCATTTAATTTGATAAAATGTTTGGTAAATTATTTTAATTTCATTACTTTTTGTCTAATATGAAATTGAAAATATAAAAATAAAATTTAACAGAAATTAAGAGTGCAGTAACAAAATTTAATATCAACAGAAAAATTAACCCTTGTATTTAATTATATATTGAAAAAAAATAAGTCATTCATAACCATGGCCATGTAGCAATAATTTAAGTTTTGAGTAACAATTATTAAATAACTATCAAATGGCATCGTGGTTAAGTCTGACAAACTGTTTGACAAAAACATTTCAACAACTAAGTACTTGTGCATGTGCCTTTAGGCCCATCTGGAATTTAGAAAAAGCCTGATGAGTCTGAGAAGCAACGAAGCCCCGAGCAAGCAGGGCCAATGGCCACATTTGCTGTGGAGCAACGCAAAGAATGTTTACGTCAGATTTGGGAACTCAAAGATCTCTCAATAATAACAAGACAAAATACTAGATAAAAAAGGTTTGAAAGAATCTCAGATACCACCTTCCTCCGATAGACCGATCTTGTCAATGTCTCCAAAGATTTTCCCCATATTGTCAAAAAGTGTGGTGATGGGCTGATGGGGCGACTCTGCTTTTTTAAATTTTCTTTCAGGTGGCCCTGGCTGCTGCTGTTCTGACACATAATTTTCTCTCTCCCGCATGTGCATTCAATAGTTCTGATTATCAGTTCACCCAATCTATGGAGGGGCGAAATCTGACATAAGATAATAAGATTAAAAAAGAATTAAACAGTGAAGTTAATAAAAAAAGAAGGGCCGAGATTGGATTAGATGAATAGAGTTATCATATTACAATGCTCTAAAAACTTTTTAAGAAACTATGATCTATGCCTGCCCTTTTAGATTCGTCTCTGATTATTTATGTACCCGATGCAAATATAAACTAATCGTCTTTGTCTGATGAGTTCTCTATTTTTATATCAGAAGGAAAATCAAAGGAATAGTTAGTCTTTTCTAAGCAGCGGGGGAGAGCAGAGATGGACCAAATGTTCAAATGTGGCAAGTTTGAATTAATATAAGTCCAAGCAACATTCACTTTTTTTTTTGGTTACCTATGATATTAATAAATGTAGGATTGCATCCTCTCAATGATATTGAATTTGAATTTTTAACATTGGTTTCTAATCTCTACTTTGAATTTGATAAAACATATACCATACTTTAACTTGGGGGAATGAACATATATATCATATTCTAACTTGGAGGACTAGATGAACTATGAACTATTCTTGAACGATCGAAGGTGGCTTGGGATTGTGGTTTTAAACATCCGATTATCGAATCTGACTCTCTTTTAGCCGTGCAAAAGATGGTGCAGCTACTTCATAGGAATGATCGATCCTTTGTTCTGGTCCATCAGGGTCCTATCCTATGTAAGCGGTTTTAACAGCTATTTACACTTAAAAAAAAAAAAAACTACTAAAAGTTTTCATAAATAAAAGAAAGGGTAGAAATTAAAATAGTAATTAATAAAAGAAGCATGCATGCCGCAGGGACCAATGGTGACGTAGGAAGTGGATTGTATGGTTGACCAAATACCCAGTAAATGAGCATAGGTCACCAATCTCCATCACAAAGTGTCTAGCTGTTACAACTTACAACCGAAAATACAGAACATAAATGTGTGCGGTTTCATGTCTTTCACTGATTTTAGCAATTCTCTAGGAAACACTTTATGTCCCACAAAAATATGTTATAAACAACAACTGATCAAGTCGTTGGTTGTTGCAAGATGTTTCCAGGGATGCTAATTAGACATTAATTTGTGGTTTGTTGGTACTTTGAAGATATTTTTCATATTTCAAAATTTCCTGAGATGGAAATTTTGGAAGCATAGAAGAGCTTTTGATTTCGAAGATTCATGATTCATCATTGAGCTTCGTTGAGGAGATTACTATGGGAATTAATATGAAAAGTAATGATATGTATACTAGGAAAGTCATTATAATGATAGCGTTTAGGGTTTAAGGATGTTATGGCCATGGTTGATTTTTTCTTCAATGTGTAATAATCTCTTTGTATAGATGGCAAACTATTATTATAGGAAATAACTAAGGGAAAAGCTCAACATTGATAAATGATATAAAGTCGTTTCTTGTAATTTCATGCCGTTCTCACTCTATAATCGACTCCTTCCGGTTTCTCCAATTTGTACGAGAAAAAAAAAAGAAAAAAGAAAAAAGTGAAACAATGAATGGCGAAAACGAACCAAGCTATCCAATTTCTCCATCATCTCTTAAACAAAAGCTGAAATCTTCTCTTCGTCTCCCATGGCTTCGCCACCATATCCACCACCATCATCACCAGCAACGCGTAGCGCTAAGTGGTTCAACCACTTCTGTTCCGACCCCTAGTCCAAGCCCTAGGGAGAACAACCATAACAAGCCAAGGCTAAGCGGGACATCTTCTTCTACATGGCTTAAGTCCCCGGAGTTAAAAGACAAGTGTCGTAATTTGATTAACCGCATTGGACATGGACATGGTCCTGGTCACCGTCACAGCCACAATGATGGTCATGGTCATCACGGCCATGGCCGTGGGAGACGACACTCGGCGGATTTTCGATATGATCCGTCGAGTTACGCGTTGAATTTTGATGAAGGGTGCGTAATAGCCAACTCGATGAGTTCCCTTTCAGAAACTTTACAGCTAGGTTGCCACCATCTCCTACTGCTACAACTTCTAGGGAAATCACTGCTTATACTTAAAAACAAAAGAGTTTGGTGCTTTAATGGGTTTATTATGTCCTTTTTTTCTTTTCTGAATTTGCATGGAAAAATGATGGCTTAGTAAGGATATGGTGGTAGGGATTTTTATTGTTTAAAAAAAATTGGAATTGTATATATATATTTTTCTTTGGTTGTTTTCTAGTTTATTAGTTTTAAGTTAATCTGATTTGAAATTCTGGGAATTATTAATAGTTAATGAATCCATGTCTTAATGGTACTAGGAAGAGGGTTTGGGGCTGTTTAAACTTTAAGTTTGAATTTTAATGTATGTGAATTTGATTTAATTTTATATTTTTTTGTTAATTTAATTAAATTTATTCATTAATTTTTATATTAGATATATTTGATTTTTAATTTATATCAGTGTAAAAGTGAATTTAATTACTATGATTATATACTTAATTTTTTATATCATCATATTTGTTGAAAATTGTTTGATTTTGATTCTAATTTCTATTCATGATATATCAATGAATGTGTTTGATGGAGCTGATTAATATATTTAAGAGATAGTGGTGAATTTTTGCCATTGTATTGTAAATCAATATTGAATTTTGTCATGGTTTATATTTTCAATTTCATTAAATCTTGACATTGTAATTTTAATTTTTGTTGATTTTTGGACATGAAATAATGAAAATGATGAAAATTTATCATTTTCATTAACAAAATATCATGTGAAATTAATATTATAATTCCATTATCCTTTATTCTAAAATCGATTAAATTGAATATAAAATGGTAAAAGTTGTCATTTAATTTGATAAAATATTTGGTAAATTATTTCAATTTCATTACTTTTTGTCTAATATGAAATTGAAAATATAATAATAAATTTTTAAAAGAAATTAAGAGTACTGCAGTAACAAAATTTAATATCAACAGCAAAATTCACTTTATCCTTGTATTTAATTATATATATGAAAAAAAAAGTCATTCATAACCATGGCCATGTGGCAATAATGTAAGTTTGAGTAACAATTATCAAATAACTACCAAATTGACATCGCGGTTAAGTCTGACAAACTGTTTGACAAAAACATTTCAACAGCTGCGTCCTTGTGCATGTGCCTTTAGGCCCATCTGGAATTTAGAAAAAGCCTGATGAGTCTGAGAAGCAACGAAGCCCCAAGCAAGCAGGGCCAATGGCCACATTTGCTGTGGAACAACGCAAAGAATGTTAACATCAGATTTGGGAACTCAAAGATCCCTCAATAACAAGACAAAATACTAGATAAAAAAGGTGTAAAAGAAGCTCAGATACCACCGTCCTCGGATAGATCGATCTTGTCAATGTCTCCAAAGATTTTCCCCATATTGTCAGAAAGTGTGGTGATGGGCTGATGGGGCGACTCTCCTCTTTGAACTTTCCTTGCTGGTGGCCCTGGCTGCTGCTGTTCTACTCCACAAACTGACACATAATTTTCTCTCTTCCCCATGTGAATTCAAAAGTTCTGGTTATCAGTTCTCCCAATCTATGCAGGGCGAATTCAAACATAAGACAAAGAGAGAATCAAATAATGAAGTTAATAAAAAAAAAGAACCGCGACTGGATTAGATGAATTGAGTTATTATATTACAATACTGTAAAGAAATTTTAGGATGCTATGGTCCATGCCTGCCTTTTTGGATTCGCCTCTGGTTATCTATGTACCCGATGCAAATAAAGACGAATCGTCTTCATCTGATAAGTTCTCTATTTTTATATCAGAAAGAAAATCAAAGGAATAGTTAGTCTTTTCTAAGCAGCAGGGGGAGAGCAGAGAGGGACCAAATATTCAAATGTGATTTTTTTTAAACTATGATATTAATAAATGTGGGATTACATCCTCTCAATGATATTGAATTTGAATCTTTAACATTGGTTTCTAAGCTTTAGTTTGAATTTGATAAACATAAACCATACTTTAACTTGGGGGAATGAACATATCATACTTTAACTTGGAGGACTTAACGAACTATAAGCTATTCTTGAATGATCGAAGCTGGCTGGGGATTGTGGTTTTAAACATCCGATTATCGAATCTGACTCTCTTTTAGCCGTGCAAAAGGTGGTGCAGCCGCTTCATAGGAATGATCGATCCTTTGTTTGTTGCTGTCTATCAAGGTTCTATCCTATGTAAGCCGTTTTAACAGCTCTTTTATACTAAAAAAAACCTATTAAAAGTTTTCATAGATCAAAGAAAGGGTAGAAATTAGGATATTATAAAAGAAGCATGCATGCATGCATGCATGCCGCAGGGACCAATGGTGTCGTAGGAAGTGGATTGTAGGGTTGCCCAAATACCCAGTAAATAAGCGTCGTTACCAATCTCTATCACAAAGTGTCTAGTTGTTACAACTTACAACCAAAAACACAAAACATAAACGTGTACGGTTTTATGTCTTTCACTGACTTTATTTCCCACAAAAATAGGTTTTAACTGGTCAAGTCGTAGGTTGTTGCAAGATGTTGCTAGGGATGCTAAGAAGATTAAGATGATTATGTACATAAGTTTGTAGTTTATTGGTACTTTGAAGATATTTTTCATATTTCAAAATTTTCTTGAGATGGAAATTTGGAGGGATAGAAGAGCTTTTGATTTCAAAGATTCATGATTCATCATTGAGCTTCGTTGAGGAGATTATGGGAATGAATATGAAAAGTAATGATATGCATACTATGAAAGTCATCATAATGATAGGGTTTAGGGTTTAAGAATGTTAATCTCTTTCTATAGATGGCAAACTATTATTAAAGGAAATAACTAAGGGAAAAGTTCAACGTTGATAAATGATATAAAATCGAGCCTCTAGCATCAAAGCAAAATTTATCATATTTTATAAAAATATCATATATTTGAAATTATCATCAATACAAAATTATCGAAGAAATTCAAACTCAAAATCATTTATATTGAGATGAATGAATTTATTGATTACATCAATCTCTTATTTATAATTATTAAAAAATTTCATGTCAAGGAATATTGGGTAATTATGTAATAACTTTAATTAAAAATAATAAGATATTTTTATATATTTGAACATTTGGTTCAATAATATGTATTATTATATCCACTTGCTTAAAAGATTAACAAACATTTGAGATCAATAATTATAAATTCTTAGAAGAAATAGTTATAAGGATTAACATGGGTCATTCATGATTTGACTCAACCTGTGAGATTTAATGACAAAAGTAATTATTACTGATTCACTGTAAACAATGATACTTTCGGTGATGGCGGTTCCATTCATGCCATCTAATCAAAACAGGAAATGAGGGGAAAAGAAAAAAAAAAAACAAAAAAAAATCTCAAACGTCTCATATGGTCTTTAGATTTTAATTGCTTAAGCAATCTAGATTTTGGCAAAGAAAAAAAAAACTATGGTCTTCTAAAATCTGCAGCAATTATTAATTATCAAAGAAAAATTAGATACATTTATCAGAAAAACTTTTCACCAACAAAGTCAAGCAACCTTATCTTATATATTCGAAGTGCTTTGCATATAAATTATTCATTATTTTTTCAGATAATTAAACGCTTTTTCCACACCAAAGGCAAGCTTTTTAGGTTTGGATTCTTTGTTCATGATTTATTTATATATTTTGTCAATAAAGTTCATTTTTAATATATTAATAATAAAATTTTTTAATTTATCAAACGAAATTAAAAAATTGATATATGTCATATTTTTGTAATTAACTTTTTTATTTTTTATTATATCTTAAAGAATATATTATTTTATTAATTTAGCTTACCAAATTTAAAATTTATCTGAATACTATAAATTGTTTTTATTATTAATGTAAATAAATTAATTAATCAAAATGTTTAAGAAAAATTTTACTAGCAAGTGTTTAAAAAATAATAATACTTAAAAAATCTTCAACTATCAATCATCCACCAACAAAAAAAAAAAAAAAAAAAAACTATAACAACTGCCTACACCATAATTAATGGCTTTATTCTAACTTGGAATTGTTCTTGGATCGCCCGACATCTCCTTTGGTATAGCCACTGGCCAAAGTATTTTTTTATTTGTTTAAAAAGTATATTTTTTAAAATTTTTTTTTATAAAAAAGATCGTATTTTAAAAATATTAAGAAATGCTAAAGTTTATTCTTCGATTTGTCGACTGCTAGCAGGCCTTTTGCTTATTTAGATTAATGAAATATCATTTATCAAAAAAAAAAAAATGATCGCATTTAAACTCTGTTTGGGAAGAAAAAAAATGTTTAGATAAAAGAAATAAAAATTTGAAAAAATTATACTCTAAATATGTAATGCTTTTGGGTAATAAGATGCATGGTTCTTCTTCACTTTTGAATTAATTATATATAATATATTAATTTTTACCTTTTAATTTTATATATTTTATAGAAAAATTTCAAAAACTTGAAAGATAAATAACAAAAATATCAAAGTCTTACCTGTTTATTACCAATTTAAGAGAGCTGAAAAAAATTTTAAAAATAATAAAAAAGAAAAAAATTTAAAATATATATATATGATCAAGAATCAAATACATATTTTATAATTAATTTTCGATTTGAAAATCTTCAAGCCCCATGAGTTAGAATTTCTTTTTGATGTTAAATTCATAATGGTAATATTTGCATTCATTTAATATAATTTTTTACTAAACCAAAAAAAAAATGCTAAATTTGATCTCAATAACATGAAAAAGAAAATTGTTTTCTTGATGGGGAAGGAAAGGATTTGGATAATGGGCAAAAATATATAATTGAAGAAAGAAAGAATTTGGATAAAGAGATTGAACTTGTGTCCTTGTCACTGTCTTCTCTTTTTGATTTCTATAAATCATCAAAATCCTTCCCAAAAAAAAAAAACAACAACTCCTTTGGTTTAGAGTTTTGGCTGAAATTTTGCATGAAAGTGATAAAACCGTTCACGTGCTCTCTCATTTCTTTCTTCCCTTACTTCCTTGAGAAAATATAATAATACTAAAGAGCAGTCGACGCCATTTTCAATCTCAATCCCCTTCAGTTTTCTAGAGAAAATTAAAGCCCCCACCACCCTGAAAAGAAAAAAAAAAAAAGGAAAAATCCCGTGATGAATTTTATTTTCAAAACAAAATAAAACCAAAAGGCCAGAAGCAGAGAGACAAAAAGAGAGTTTGAAAGAAAGAAAAGATTCATCGAAAGCGCAAAAAAAGCACTGAATCAAAGGCGGCCTAGAACCAGCAAGCATCGACCCAGTCTCTCTGTCTCTTCTATTTCCTTCTTAACTCTCTCTCTCTCCCTCTCCCTCTCTCTCTTTGCCCCGCTTGAATCTGGTACTTATTTTTCTGTCTTTGTTTTTTGAATCTTTATTTTTTTAGCACTGTTTGTTGCTTTTAGAAAAGACCCTTTCATATAATAAAAGGTTTATTGCTGTTTCTTAGAGCTAGTATGTGAAAATTCTAGTATATTTTAAGGAAAGAAATAAAAACCCTAGCTTTATCTCTTCTACACTTGATTCACACCACCTTTAAGCTGATATCCCATTTTAGCTGAACCTTGTATTATAGATTATGGCATTTGATCAAAACTCAATACCAAAAGATCTAAGACCATTGAATATAGCCAGCACTGTAGCTGAAGACCCTCGCATTGCGGCTGCGGTGGCAACTGCTAGTAATGCCAGTGGTAGAAACATTGAAGGGTTTTTTCCCAACCCGTCTCGGGAGCCTGGGAGTCCTGGTTCTATGCCTGTTTTTTATCCGGCAACAGTGCCTGATGCCGGTTTTGTAGGTTTAGGGTATGGGAATGCGATGCCCTTGGCACCGGGCCTTCCTGCATGGAGGCCTCACATGCCGGTGCCGATGGGGCATCCAAGTATGAACCCGGTTGTTGGGTTTGGTTATAATCCCAATTTAAGAAATATGGTGGTTGCTAATGCCATGGGTCAGGTTAGTAGTGATTTGGTAGCTGGGCATGGTTATAGTTCTAGTTTGGACAATAGTAGTAGTGGGAATGGGAGTGATCAGGTGAGTAATGATATGGTGCCAACAGGTTTTGGACATGGTTCCAATATAGAAAACCGGGATAGTGGCGATGAGAGTGATCAGTCGAGTAATAAATTATTAGGTGGGCTTGGTTATAACCCAAATTCAGGACTTACGAGTAATGGCAGTAGGGCTGATCAGGTGAGTGACGAGGGTGGGGATGATTTGGTGTCAGGGAAAAAGGTTAAGTTTTTGTGTAGTTTTGGGGGGAAGATATTGCCTAGACCTAGTGATGGGATGTTGAGATATGTTGGGGGGCAGACAAGGATTATTAGTCTTAGGAGAGATGTGAGCTTTAATGAGTTTGTGCAAAAAATGGTGGATACTTATGGGCAACATGTGGTTATTAAGTACCAGCTTCCTGACGAGGATCTTGATGCATTGGTGTCCATTTTATGCTCGGATGATCTTGATAACATGATGGATGAGTATGAGAAAGTGGTTGAAAGGTCTTCAGATGGGTCTGCTAAATTAAGGGTATTTTTATTTTCGGCTTCAGAACTTGATTCTTTCAGTATGGCTCAATTTGGGGATTTACATGACAATGGGCAGAAATATGTTGAGGCAGTGAATGGAATTATGGATGAAGGTGCTGGTGGCATCATGCGGAAGGAGAGCATAGCAAGTGTGGCTTCAACACAGAATTCTGATTTTAGTGGGACTGAAGCTGTTGACAGCATAGGTGCCGGTCAAGGGGACGTTAGTGGGCCTCCATCAACAAAAATGTTGTCACCTAGCGGGAATTCAGCTACTTCTCATGACACTGCTCCAAAAATGATGGCTGTGGATCCTAATCCTGCTGTTTACGCAGATGCTTCTGCTGTTCATTTAGGAATTCCGGTGGTTAAGTCTGGTCCTCCGCAAACATTGTCTTCTCAACCTGAGGTTGAATTAGAGAGTACGGTGCCCCGTATTACAACACAGCAGCAATTAGGATATGATTTGCAGCAACACTATGCATCTGCATATATTGATCCTCGCCATGAAGTTATGAACCATACTGATTATGTGCATTTTGCGCCTCAAATGGGGTTCTCGAATCCTAAGTTGGTGGGAAATACTGGTTCTGTATTCAGCCAACAGCAGTTTCATGATAATGCTACCCCTCATCAGTTCATTCCTGCTTTGCACATAACAATGACTCCCTCGACTTCCCATGTTGGTATTAGACCTGCAGTGGTTCAGCCACTGTTGCAAACCCAAAACACTCCATTAGAACATTATCCTGATGAAAAAACATTTGGAACGAGGGTGGTTCAGCTTCCTGCTGATCAGAGCCACAATGTTTATCAGGCCCAGATTCCATCAGCAATGGTTGGAAGAGGTTATGGCTGTCATCATATTCCACAAACTGAGCATGTTGTTTTCTCGGATGGATCATTGCCTCGGCACCAAGTAACAATTCCTGAGAAGATACCAAGGCTAGAGGACTGCTTTATGTGTCAGAAGGCATTGCCTCATGCACATTCTGATCCTTTGGTACAGGACCAAAGAGATAGTGGTGTAACACCTTTAGCGAATACAAATTCAATTTATCATAGTCTGCATCCAAACGATGTTAAGTGGATTTCATCATTAAACAGAGTGGTGGTGTCTGGACCATTAGGGGATGGCATTGCTGGACAAGGAGCTGGGGTTCGACAGCTTGGTCACGTTGATTATCATGTTGGAGGACTCCACTCAGAGGCAGTTGGATTCTCTCAAGGTCTTGGTGCACAAAATGAACATGGAAGAAATGCTTCCCCGAGAACAGATAATTCTGATCATCCTAGGATTCCAGCAAGCCATGGTTTGATGGGTTTGGCAGGTGAGTTACAATCACCATATGTTTTGCCAACTCAATACCAGTTTAAACAGGAGGTTCAACATGCTGGGGCAATTGGCATTCGAGCTTCAGAACAGCCAGTGCATGAAGCCTCAAGAGACTATCATGGCAAGATTCCTGCTGTTCCCAGAGAAGATATTGTAGACCATAACCATCAGATCCCAATTGATGGGATGATGGAGACTCTTCGGATAAGCAATGAGCAGAGTAGTAAAACCAGAAAAGAAGATATCTTGGATAAGAGATCTCCACAAATAGCAGGGAGAGAGGTGCTTTTGGATAATATCTTTAGTAAACCAATAGATCCCAATGAGATGGTTATTTTGGGTAATGTAGTAACACATGCACAACCAAAAGTTGGGGCCCAAAGTTTGGATTCTGTTGAGGTTCGATACGGTAACCCTTCATTTTCTGGTGTTAAGTTAAGACAAAAATTGCATGATGCTTCATGGATGCAGCAGAAGATTGTACAAAATGGCACTGAAGCTGCTTCTTTGAATGCTAACACCCAAACTTCCCTTTCACCATCCAATCAAGGTGGAGATGTTTTGGATTCCTCCAATTCAGTTTTTAGCAATCAAGATCCTTGGAATTTACGGCAAGATACTCACTTTCCCCCTCCTAAACCTAACAAAATTCAAACAAAGAGAGAAGGATTAGCTACCAGAGACCGTTTTGGAGAGAACCAAGCAGTAATTAGTGGGGAATCTCATACCCAATTGGAAGATGAAGTTTACCAGCCATTAAGCCATTTAAACAAGAATTTCAGTTCAGACCACACACAGTCCACAAAAGGTGAGATATTTGATTTTAATTTTTATAAAATGTTGGCATTTATCGCTTTTATGTGCGGTGTGAATGTTTATTGCGTTGCCTTCACTGCCAAAGGCTCAGCCGTGGAACTCATCAAGAAAGAACTACAAGCTGTTGCTGAGGGAGTAGCTGCTTCTATTTTCGAGTCATCTACCCCTTCCAATCCTGACATACCAGCAGAGATCAACGCATCTGGTTATGAAGGCAATCAAGACACAGATGTTTCAACTAGTGACATTGAAATGCAGCATAAAGCTCAATTTGAGGTGTGCAATCTAAGATTTCTTCATTCTCCATCTGTACGCTCATTGTCCTTGCCGCCCTTTCCCCTTCCCCCTTGCCTTCTTTTTTTTTTTTTTTTTTGTGGTTGCCTTCTGCAGATGCATTTCTTGAGTTGTCTTTCATGTTATTTCTTAACTCAGGAAATCAAACAGCTAGAAAGAACAAATTTTGGTTTTCGAGTTTCAGCTGGCATTGGTCGCTTGCAGGTGGAAGCATTGTTTTTATGTGATGTTTATGCTTTTACTATTAGCTTTTATTGCCCGTTAATTTAGCTATATGTTCAATTGGCAGATTATAAAAAACAGTGACCTTGAAGAGCTCCGAGAGCTTGGTTCTGGCACCTTTGGTACTGTTTATCATGGGAAGTGGCGGGGTACCGATGTTGCAATTAAACGAATCAATGATAGATGTTTCGCCGGAAAACCTTCTGAACAAGAACGCTTGGTTTGGCTCTTTCATTTCCCTTTGCAAGCTCCTGTTTTCTCCATATTAGTTCCACTTTGTAATTTCACTTGCTAACTTGTACTGTGATAAATGCATATGATCAGATAGATGATTTCTGGAATGAGGCGATTAAGCTTGCTGACTTGCATCATCCCAATGTTGTGGCATTCTATGGTATTGCGCTCGATGGTCCTGGTGGCTCTGTGGCAACAGTGACAGAGTATATGGTTAATGGTTCTTTAAGAAATGCTTTACAGAAGAATGAGAGGTACTAAAAGTTCTAGTTTTGTTTGCAATACTGTATGACCTTTCCTACGATTGTGTTTCAATTACATTTACCTGGTTATAAACAATTATAGGACGACCTGCCATTTCCAGGAATCTTGATAAGCGTAAGCGACTTTTGATTGCCATGGATGTGGCCTTTGGAATGGAGTATTTGCATGGAAGGAATATAGTGCACTTTGATTTGAAGAGTGACAATTTACTTGTCAATCTTCGAGATCCTCACCGCCCAATATGCAAGGTTAGTGCTTAGGCCTGAGTATTATTTACAATCCCATTCTGGTGCAAGTTCTATGGTGAGAAAGCTTTTGATTACTTATTCCTATACAATTGAGGTTTATGAAGCTTTTATTGCAGATGTTTGTAAATTATGTTTGGTTTAAAAACAACAGTCATTAATAACTGGTTTAAAAACAACAGTCATTAATAACATAAGAACAGAGCAAGTTCTTATATGAACATTCCTGAGCGCTTTAAGAGTAATCTTTAATTAGTAGCCTTTTAATTTCAACCTGCTGTAAAACCTTAATAAAAAGAGGTATCTGGATGGATGGGCCTTAATTATTCATTATAGTAGCATGTGCCTTTTGTTGTATATATACTTTTTGGTACGTAGGGATGTCAATCTTATCCATACCCAACGGAGAATCCGATTTTTTTATCTTAATGGAGATGAGAATGGGTATTATATTACGGGCATAAAACTGGGATGAATATGATTTTAAATATTTTTTATTAGGTATTGGGATGAGGATGTGGATGAGGATAGAAAATATAGTACCACCCCATACATGTACCCCACATATATATTTATATATATATATTTATCAAATAAAATTTTTATTAAATAATATAAATTATTATTTTAGATTAATTAGAATTAATATATTTTTATTAAAAAAATATATTAATATATATATATTTATAAAAAATTATTTAAATATACAAGATAAAAATAAAAAAATTTAGTTTTTAATTTTTTAAAGCTATAGGTATGGGGATTACCTGTATCCATTAAATACTCGTAAGAATAAAAATTGAGATAAATTTAAAATATCTATTGGATATGAGTATAGGAATGTGTATAATATAAAATTTCAGAATGAAAAATGCTCTATTCTATCAATACCCTACCCATTGACATCCGTATTGGTATGGGATTATGTCTAACAGAAAAATCTACTTGCTTCAAAAACAATCTCATTATAATTGAACATGAACTTTTCATATGGCCATCTTCTTAGTCCTTATTTTCCTTTTTCCCTAATTGTTTCATGGTTATCCACTTATTTTAAAGGTAAGTTTCCTTTTCTTGTTTTTTGTTTATGGTAGGGAAAACACAAGTTGTCTATTAATTAAAATCATCTTGCTAGAAAATTTGGGTCTTTATCGTCCATGTCAATTTCTACAAATTATGGGGCTTCTTTCTCTTATGCTTTTTGCCCAGGTTTCACCCATGAATACCTTTCATAATTTAAATAATCTGGAGTTATGTTCTCATGTTTCTGTTTGATGCAAGTAATAATTGCTATAACAAAGTGAGCTGACAAAACTACTTCCATCAATGTAAAAGAAATTATTTCCTTACAGTTTAATGAACTATAATCTTTTGCAGTCATACCTTTCCGCTAGCTTCTTTGTTGTTTGGTTGCTTTTGATTTGCTGCTCTTAATATAAGGATGGTAATTTTAGAATCCAAATTCCTTTTCAGGTTAATCATGCAAGACATGCCTACTCTTTTATGTACTTGTAAAATATCAGTAAGATATGACTAGCGTCTAGTGGTTGAATTGAGCATTTGTCGAGTTAACTCAAATCAGTTTCCATGTATTGGTCCTCATATTTGAAAATAATCCTTTGTATTTTCTTCTCAATTAACGGGAAAATGAAGGATAAAGGGAAAATTTATTATGGATTTGGTAATGAAGCATTAAAGATAAAATTGTTCTACTCACTTTTAAAAGGTTCATTAGATGTCATTTGTAAACTTTGAACAAATTGGTCCCTTCCAACTTTCTTGTTGGGCTATAAATATGAGTAAACTGATTGATTAGACTTTGACGTTGACTGTGAAGTTTCAAACGATTCTTATGGAAATATTAACCCTTCGATTGTGCAAAGAGTGCTAATATGCATTCCAGTTAATTTTGACTTATATAAAACTATGATTTCTGCTATATTATTAGTCCTTTTATCAACTGTTGAGAGAAGGAGTGAACTAATTCTGATGCCAAATTATGGATGATTGCATGGTGCACTCCAGTTAATTTTGACTTATGTAAAACTATGATTTCTGGTATATTATTAGTCCTTTTATCAACTGTTGAGAGCAGGAGTGAGCTAAGTCTGATGCCAATTGATTGGCCCAATAAAAAAAAGGTCTGATGCCAACTAATGGATGGTTGCATGGTACTACACCTTCTAAGAAGTTGCCGTTATGGATTCTTTCTCTTAAATTGATACCTGAAGGCTCTCTTGCTTTTACTGCTTTTTTGGTTTTAATGATTATTTCAATTTCATTCTGAACTCATTCAATGGATTTAGTTCTCACGCCTAATTTTTGGTACCAGGTTGGTGATTTGGGCCTATCCAAGGTGAAATGTCAAACTCTGATCTCAGGTGGCGTGCGTGGAACACTTCCATGGATGGCACCAGAACTTCTGAATGGTAGCAGCAGTCTTGTCTCAGAGAAGGTTTGTGATTTGCACATTTTCTAGTGCCCTCTATCAATTTATTTTCTTACCTCGTCTCACTTCCGTACTAAATAATCATGAGAACTTTTTTTTTCCCCTACATATGGTTAATGATGAGATTTTTGTTTTGATATTTCCTCTAATTTAGGTTGATGTGTTCTCATTTGGTATTGTGATGTGGGAGCTTCTCACTGGAGAAGAACCATATAAGGACTTGCATTATGGGGCTATTATTGGTAATTGCATTATTTGTGAATGTAATCGTGAATTCTATTCTTTGTGCTTTGATGGATCAAGGTTTGTCTCACGGGATCATTTGCCTGGAATTCTGCTCAGGTGGTATTGTGAGTAATACACTACGTCCCCCAGTTCCAGAATCATGTGACCCAGAATGGAGATCACTGATGGAGAGATGCTGGTCATCAGAGCCATCAGAGAGACCAAACTTCACAGAGATCGCGAATGAGTTACGCTTGATGGCTGCAAAAATTCCACCTAAAGGACAAAACCCACAGTAAAGCACAAAAGCATCAGTTCCAAAATGAATTTGGACAATCTGCTCACTGTTAGCATCTCCTGTTTCCTTTGCATGTTAGTTGTAGGAATAGGTCGTAAATGTGCTTGACATGAATGTACACAGGGAACCAAGTTTTTTTCTTTCTTTTTTTTTTTTTTTTTATATAGAAATTATACTTGCTCGTTTGTGTAGCACTTATAATTCTAAGTGAAAATTGTCTTTATATACAATTTATTGGTTAATTATGGTGAAATCTTACATCACCTGTCAACAAAAGAATTGCATTGTTGCATTTCCGGTTTCTTGGACCTGAATTCTCTGTTCTCAAGCTTATAGATATGCGGCAGCATGGGGGAATGGGGTATGGTTTTGAACTCCAACCAATGATCTTATGGCATTGGCCCTCTATTCAGCAGGACAGCATTTAGTTTAGGTCTATAGTACAATCAGCTAGTTTAGATCCTTTAACAATTTTATTGATTTTGACTATCCTTTCTCTGATAGACAAACTGATTTATAAGCGGCGAGCTTCTGATACAGCACATACAAACAGAACCATGGAACCATTCCACAAATAGAAGGTATGGAAGTTATCACATAAAGTCCAGGGCCCCTTTTAAAATTTTGACCACTTGAAAATGAGACACCTCAAACCTCATGTCTCTTCCAACATGTTATTGCCAGCCATTACAAGTCAAATCACTTCACTGGTGGAAACATTATTTTATATAGGAAAAAGTAGATAATTACATTATAAAAGCTATGACTTAAAGCCATTCTTGTGCACAGATGTAAAAATATTACAGAACCATCTATCAATGCTACCTTAATGCTATGCAGAGGACTTTCCTTATGAACAAATAGCTGGATTTCCCCATTGCAATGGCCTCTCTCTAATGCATGGTCTGAAGCTGAATTTCCACCAGTGTAGACAGAGCGAAACATGGAAGTTTCTATAGAGTTCTTTTATTTACATTCAGTGTTCTTTTTCCAAATTAAAGGTGGCCAATGGTTCTCAAGAACAGCTTATTTTGATCGAGAAACATACACACCTATAAACAGCCTACCTCTTACGTTTGCTCTTCAGAGAAGTAGAGGGGTTACTATGCCAATTCCTTTTTCTCTGGTTTATAAACCAATTATTAATCTGCTTTAACTGCAATCCTGTTTCCTGCACTAATCTTGCTTTGTCTTCCTCCTGAAGTAACATTTAAAAGAGACACTTTGTCAGAGAACTGTTGAAAAGAACATATTTTGAGGATCACAGCTTCCGAGGAAATATATCACACTCACAGTTGGGTAAGGCCACTTGGAATGTGATTGCCACCAAGCTCTTAAATGGGATGTGGTGTCACCTGGTAGCTTTCCAGCTCTTCTCTTACGAAGAATTTCCTCTCTAATGTCCACAATTTTCTCCTTGTAACCCTAAAAGACAGAAGCATATTTAGCTGCAGTGTATATGACCAGTTATTTTACTATTGAGTTTAGGAAATCATACCTGTTTCAGTTCATGCTTCAGTTCTTGCCTAACACGCTCCATTAAGGATCTCTCAATATCAGTTGGGACGAGAGAGCCAAATCCCATGTTGTCAATCCCATCAAAACTTCCATCAAACAAGCTGGTATCACTATCTACAACTTCATCTTCATCATCAGACATGGTTGCACCAGTGCCTTCACCCGGAGATACACCTGTTCATGCCTTATAGTTTAGCTGTAAGTTTTGCTACTTTAATCCACAGTTAATGCAGTAATACCAAGACAATAAAAATAAACAGGGAAGGATAAGTTCTATGGCTTCTGTAGAGACTTTTTTCCAGCTCCAAGAGAGAGGTGGCTTAACAATCTAGAACTTATATAGCTCATTGGAACCATTTACCTGTTAAACTTTGAAGTGATTGCTCAAGATCCCAACAAGCCATAACTGCTTCCATTGCATGAACACGAACATGTTGCTGCAATTGGTCTTTAAATAAACCAAGCAATAGAACATAATTTGCCTACATTAAAGGGAAAAAGAGAGAATACTGAAATGAAAAAGATGGCAATGATGGCATATAACATGTTTATATCAGAAAGCTTAAAAAATGCAAAAAGGTAATAGACCATCTCATAAACCCTCTTAAATTAGTCAATAATATCATTCAATAAATACAGTAGCTTGTAATTAAAAAAACTTTAGTGGATTGACATACATTATTGTATGCAACCATGTGAAACAGGAGTGGACAGGGAAATTCTGACATATCCCTTATCCCACTGTATACAATAAAGGCAGGTCAGGACTTAAAAGACACCACTCTTAACTGCTTTTAGCAAAAATGGACAATAATCCACCATTAGTCATTGTTTCATGCAATAACAATGGTGACAGATATCATAACTCATTGACAACTAACAAAGTCTGATTTCAGATTCACAATTAAGATACCAATTGAATGCTCAATATATTTTCCAGGACGAGACACTGTCAATGACAATGAAAGTTTAACTCAAAATACTTCAGCAGAAAGAATATCTTCTATCAATTTATGCTAAAACCAAATACCTTAGAATAGGAATGTCAACTGCTTAGGCTATTAAGCTTTCACAAAAAATTACACAAGATGGTTCCGAATGTTTCTAGGTTGATGAGACCTGTAATCTGCTTTCTACAATTATCTCTTCAAGTTTCTTTCTTTTTAAAGAATAATTACCTACATCATTCATGTTGCTTTACAAACTTTAAAACGCATTACACAGTAAAACAAGGTTCCATGTACTAAGCATCATGAAGTCGAGAGATATAATCCAATGATCATATATGTCGATTAACCAAAGAGAAGTCTTAAAACAAATATGTCTTAAAACAAATATGTCTTAAAACAAATATGAACCCCTGTTAAGGAAATCAAGCTAGAATTTACTCGGTGTCAAGATAAGCGCATTGCTATTCATGCCAGTGACATCTGAAGCACAACAAAATAGTTTCCACATACAATTTCATACGAATTATCCTCTGTTGAGTTCCTCAATTGAATAACTTTCAAAGTATTGTTTCTACATACAAAATAGCTTGACAGGTTGATAAAAAAATCAATATACTTTCAAAGTCTTGTTTCTATATACAAAATAGTTTGCCAGGCTGGTAAAAAAATCGCTATACTTCCAAAGTCTTGTCCAACACCATAAAGACTAACGAAGGTGCAATTCAAGCAACAAAAATAGTTTCGAATAAGTAACAGATTTCTAATACTATCAGATAACTTCTTCATGCCTGTTTACAAACAATTGTTTTTTTCTCCATATTACTTGAACTGATTTAATTTGTTTAGCTTGATCTTAAAAATACTTGATGGTATCATAGAGAGGATATCTGCTATCAAGAAGCCCAAATGCGAAATATAAAAGGTTGGATAGAGAAATTAGGCCAAATATCACCCGGAGTTGAAAGCAAGATCAGGCTTCCAGCTATCTCCAACAACAATTTCTTAATTCCAAATAATATGTAAAAAAAAGTAGTTCAAACCATTGGAAATTTATGAATTCAATTAAATTTTCTTCACACCATCAATGGAAAAAATTGAATGACTAGATTTTCATTTGTTACTAGTTCCCACTTGCATATATACAATCTTGATGCTCATGTAGAATCCAGATCATACAATATGGAAACAGAATTCTACTGAGAAAGAACATCAGGGAATAAGAAAAGTGAAAGCTGGTCCTTCCAGGCAAGAACAAATTCCGGAAGCGAGGAGGAGACATATATATTACAACAATCAGTGAACAAATGATTCTTGAAAGCACTCCAAAAGTTCCAATATTATTATTAGGGCACTGATAAAAAGCATCATTCCTCCAATTTCGCCACAAAAGCACATTCTGATTCACATCACAAGGACACCTTCAAGTACTATCCTCCAGTCCACTAGGAAACTCCTTATTAGCCTTTCATTTTACATCGTCTTTTAACTTACACATAAAATATTGCCAACATAAAACATCCCATAACTCATATATATATATATATATATATATATATATATAACATATACCCTTTTGCTTCCATTAAATTACCAAATAGGAAACCAAATAAAATAAAAGTTTAGAATAAAAACTTAAGCTTTATTGAGCACCAGCAGGCAGCAGCATCTATCAACTCAAAGAACAAAAATCTTTAGCTTGAAGAGTAAACGCTTTCCTAAAAAAGTCACATGCTGTTGTAAAATAAAACCCATAGTAACAAGATCCAACTACTCATTAAATGCAAATAATTAGCAAAAAAAAAAAAAAAAAACTACAAAAGGAAAATGAAAACAAAAAAAACACAATATCACCAATGGATCATAAATACACAAATAAGGAAGATAATCAAGAACTGGGAAAAAAGAACAAAGAACCCAAATCAGGAAACAAGAAGAGAAAAGGGTTACCATGAAGTGATCGAGTTCTTCCTCAGCAGCAACGGCAGCAGCGGCTGAAGAGTACTTAGCCAAGACTTCTTGGGACCTAGATAACTGAGCATCGATCTTAGCAAGCTGGTCAACAGGCGTGGCAACACGTAGACAAGCCACGTGTGCTTCCAACAACTGGTCGTACATGGGATGTCCCATTATCTCAGCCTTGCGTTTGGCTCTTTCCCAGTGGTCGACGCCGGCGGCTGAGGCGGAAGCTGATGATGGTTCGTTTAGAGCAAGGTTTTGCAGGTCTTTGGTTTGGTCGGAGACAAAACCATCGAAAGCCATGTTTGAGAAAACTGAAAACTGCCTCAAGGTGGTTCCGAGTTGAGTTTTAGCAAAGAAGAAGATAACGAGAGAGAGAAAGAGAGACTTTAGGAGAGGGAAAAGAAGAGGCAAGCGCAGTTGTTGGAGGATGGTGTAATAAAAAGACAAACGGAGATGAATAATACAGAGCAAACAACCATTGACGTTTGAGTTAAATTTTCTATGCCTTGGGCGGTTAATTTGGTTGGCTTTTTTGTCTCTTCTGATTTCACCTCTTTTACCTCACTTTAATTTCATAAAAAAAAATTAAATTAAAAAAAAAAACAAAAATGTCACCTCATCATATCTATGCAAGGCTAGGGTCAAGCCTATTAACAACTACTGGTGATGTACACTATTTAATTCTAAAATGATTAATGCATATTGGCATTACTAAATGATTGACATTTAAATAATTTTTAATTGAATAAAAAGATAAAGAATATTTATTAAAAAAGAAAAAAAATACATATACATATACAATTAGTAAATAAAATAATCCTATCCATCCTTCCAAATTGATATAACCTGATAGAAAAATCACCATGTTTTTTTTTTATTATTTAATTTGGGATGATCACTTCCATAGCTTTATGATTTGAATGCAAAGTTAAAAGGGTAACAGTACCCTTTGTTTTTAGTGTTGTCTTTTAGCATATTTACCAAACTAAAAGAAAATTATAAATTATAAAAAACTCAGCTCTGAATTGGGTCAAGCCTTTTGACCAAAAAAGGTGAAGCAGCAGCCCAGAACCGAAGGTCCCCCAGGGGCAGTGCAAGAAGCCAATTAACTCTATGATGACACCACAGCCCATTCCCTGTTGCTTGCTCCGTTCTATCAACACGTGTCACTCTCATATTTAATTGGACCATTTGTGGGACCACTGGGAGAACAACTACATCCGTACACCTGTAAAATTGCAGGTTAGCCAGGGACCACGCCACGCAAGCAAAAGCGTAAACAATAGATAAAAATTAAAATAAAATTTTTATTCAATTAAATTTACTGTTAGTAATAGAATTCATTACAGTGACAAAATGTTGGTAAGAATCGTTTTTTTTTTTTAATATAAAAATTTGGTTTCAAATTCAGCTGATAATTTTTTATTAAAATTATTTTAAATATATGATTTGAAACTATTATTTTTAAATTATTGAATATGAGATATTTATTTTGATTTAAAAATAAATAATTTATTTATTTAAAATTTTTCTTAAACAAAGATATGAATCATTCAAAAAAATATTAAAAAAGTCGATGCTATATGACAAAATGGAAAATGGACCCAGGTTGCCCCTTCTTACTCAAACATAATTAAAACAGCTTTTGTTTGCTCCAAACATTGATCCATCAATAATGAAAATAATTCCATGAATCCTTCGCTATATAAGTCCAAGGATCTGACTAAGAGACCACCACCTATTTTTGATATACCAAAGATTTTCTCCATTAAAATAGTGAGGGATGATATGCATGTCTCACTTTTAGTGGTAGATATATATTCAACATTTTCTTGCCTAGTCCCCTCAAGATATCAATGATGATTGACTTCAATCATTTCAATTTCATTCATACTATAAAAAATATTTTAGGTCAGTATATACATAATTCAATAGTTATTATATTAAGTAATATTTATATCTGTGTTTTCTTTTATGTATAGAAAGAAAACTTATTATATTTTATTTGATAATGGAGTTTTTAAATTTTATTATTAAAATTAGTAGAATGATACATATCTTTTAAAATATAATAAAAGAATTCAAAACCGAAGATAAAAAAAAAGGGGTGGGGGGGAGAAAAAATTGAATGTTGAAATATCTCAAGCAAAGAAAAGCAAATTGCAAGCCGAATCACCGACAAAAAGACAATAGCATCCAGCATCCAGAAACAGAATCGCCAAGAACTGCCCCACAAGACTACCCCAAAGTGATTCAATGTTCTTTCTTTCTTAATTTCATGCACAGATGTTGTTAACAAATTTTTTCTCTGCAAGATTGGACAAATTACGCAAAAGAGTTTGTACATGCAAATGAGGGGGGAGGCAAAAGATTAATGAATACATAAATTAATGTATTTCAAGGCAGAGAAGGTGACATAATTAAGTTTGATCCAGGCTAGCAAAAAGATGCTATATTTATGCCTTCGGATGGATATCTGTTCTGATATTTCATTGGTTAATTTTCCTTATAATTTGTAAATTGTGTTTCAATCACGATATGTGTGATACAAATTTTCCCTAATCTTGATTTCGACTGCTCTTGCATGGAAATAGAAATGAAAAAAAAGAAGATGAAACTATCTTTAGAAGTTAATTATTTTTCTAGTGTTGATAAGTAAGATTTTATGAAACAGTTACTTCATACATATTTCTTTCTCGCATTCATAGGTTGGCAAAGATACTTATCACCCTTGGGATATCTTGTTTTCTGTCTTGTGCATCGTTTGTCAATTAGAAAAGAAACAAGAGAATGTTGCAAATTTTATGGCAGTTTTTTCATGCCTTTTTCTGTGTGTAATGTGAGTGCTACATCGTCACGTTTCATGGAAACATGCCAAGAACATTAAACTCATATATATCTCTATATCAATATGATCGATGATATTAAGGGATTGGCCATTTTGACGAAGCTCCTCCCTCTGTCCAGTCTTCACTTGGAAAAAACAAATTAAAATGTGATGTTTTCAACGTTCCTGCCTCTGTTTCGTAGCTGAATAATTTAGGATTCATGTATGATATTCGTGTGCTAATGCTCATATGAATTGCCATTTTACTTAATTTTCCTTGTAAAGTAAAATAACATAGAATTCTTATTTACATCTCTAGTTAATAACAATGCTTGTAACGTTTTGATTTCACTGTCATGCGTCGTTAATGATGCTTCAAGGAAGATCATAGATTCTGTTACGTAATTTCCTCCCTCAAAATAGTAATAGTAGATAAAAGGGAAAAAAATGTAAATGTATGGTCGGGCTTTATTCAATTTCTGCATTAAAGCTCAATACGATGAAAAGTCTGCTTATGTCAAAAGTCGTGCTTTGTTAATAAAGTGTTGAATTCTTAACATTAGCGACTAAAATTTAATCCTTAACAATTTCAAATATATATATATATATATCTGTTTATGGTCATTTTTACCTAGACCTTTCATCCCCACTGGCTGTTCTTTTTCCTCTAACGATTCAATCACTAATTGCAAACTATAAAATCAGGAAAAGGAGGCATATAAGTATTAGTATGAATTTTGTTTTCTGATTTACTGAATTGCATAAGAGGAAACAAGTAGGAAAACTGCCTTTACGACTTTGTATTTGGCAGAAATTTACAAGGATGTAGCAACTAGCTAGCTAGAAGAACTAATTTCTGTGCTCATTCCCCTACATAATTTCATTATCATGAGGAGTGGTAGAAAAATATGGAAATTATTTGAAAAAAGAAACTCTGTTTTCCTAACCTGTTTCCTTCTACTTGGCTGTATCAAACCTCTTTTATATCTCCATTATCTACATTTATATGTACCTGCTGACAAAGGCCCATTGACGTCTTCTTTGCTTCGGAGGAGTCACCAATAGATAGAACAGGAGGGAGAAGAGAACTTGGGAGTTGCAATAGACAAGGAGAAATCACTCAAAGCCTGTGTTTTGGAGAATGATAGATTCCTTGTACAGAAACAAGCAGAGGAACAAACACCTTTCAAGTTATGCAGCGCACAACCGCAATTGCGATGGTATGGCCTCCGCTCGATCTCTAAAACATACATTGCTAGGCTTCCTTCAAGGACACATCAGAGCATCATCTTAGCTGCTCCAGTCGCCATCCTCTCCTCTCTCTTCCTGCCCTTGTCTCTGATCTGCGAATGTGTTGCCAGTCTAGCATGTTTTTGAAGTGCATATATAATGCAAGGAATAATATAGAGATCTCCACGTTGAGTTCAAGAGGACTTTGTTCTTGAAAGTTCAACGTTTTTGTCAAGGGAAGATTAAGTCCCAAATGTTGGTACAGAGAGAGAGGGTATTTAAGCTTAATTTAAGCTTGAAAAGTTGTTGGATCAGTAATGCTTATACACTTTTAGTTGGTATAAGTAAGATTATAAGAATATGTGAAGAGAGTAATGAACTTGCTTGTAAAGTTAATTTCAACATCCACAATTTTTTTTGTTCACAAATTATGTTTTTTTTTTTTTTAAAGCTACATGAAAGTTGTATCATATCATATTTTCCTCAAGAAAATGACCACTATCTCCATTTTTTTGCATTTATTTTAAAATTATTTTACAACATTATTTTAAAAATCTCTATGGAGCAATAAAAATTATTAATTTTTTATTGCTCTTTGCCAAACTCTATTCACCCAGGGCCAAGTGCAAGTAACATAATTTAATGCAACAGCTTAATAACCAAATTAAATCGACCAGATATAGGTTGATTATGTATATTTTCGTCTGAATTTCAATTTTTTTCCCTTCTTCACTCTATAGTATTTTCCTTTTGCACGTCAAGTTTCTTAATCCATGATTGAAAATAACTAAATAACGTGAAATAAAAGGGATTTTGGGGAAAAAAAGTGGAACATTTTAATTTCTCTGTCCTTTAACTTGAAAAAAAATTACCCCACCTGGCTAAAATTTTTGTTGGACTGACAATGCTTAAAATTTAAGCAATTTCTTGAGGTCGAATGCATATGACGGCTGCTGAATATTGGAGTACTGTTTCAATTTCAACACTGAACTACTAATGCCACATTTCATAGCAGTTATGGAACATAAAATCGAGGAAGAAAAAGGCAATCTAATGATTTGTCAGCTTGATATAGTGTTAAGGCTATTGAAAGAAACAAGAGAAAGTTGAAAAATATATAGCTTTACATTGAACTATGCAGAATCAACAGGGATGCAGTCAGCTAGAAGAACCATTAATTCACGTTTTTTTCCTAGTCTTGGATTTCATGAGTGCTGAAACCTGAAACTCAACCTGGGTTTCGATGCCTATGAATGAGGGAATACCAATCCAATTATTGCTTGTCCCCTTTGTCATTTGCTTTTCTAGAGGTAAAATAAACGGTTCCCAAAATTATTAGCTGGAAAAATAAGGGAAAGAAGCTTGAATTGGTATTATATATGATGTGCAAGTGAAGTTACAAAATTCTGAAAGCAAATAATTAGAAAGGAGAAAAATATCATCAGATTGAACTCTACAGAATTTACAGGGATATAGTTT